CTGCTGATTTTCTTCCAAATTGAATAGTTTGAACGAATAAATAGAACACAAAAATCAAAGTAATTAAAAATGAGAAAGTGTTAAAAATACGTAGAATAATTTGTGAACATTTTGAACATTGTGAGCTTTGATAGTTGCCCAGTCGTCGAATTATTTAAAAGAAAGAAGCAAAAGTGAAAGATGCTATGTAAGCAAAATCCAAATCGTTGCAAGTTTAGCGAAATATTTAAGCAAAATTATCATTTAATTGTTGGAATTTAAATATGAAAAGTTTTGTTTTGTTCGTGATGTGTCGCATAATATTACCGTGAATCTTCTTCATTAGCAGGCTGAACCGCTCTCTGGGCAAATCAACATAAACAGTAAATCTCCTCCTTGGAACAAATGTATGCAGAATTGAAATAGTGATCGAACGTAATTCCGTCAACGCAAATGACGAAAAACGAACGTTAGTTTGAATTCATCGAATTTTTTCATTGCATTTTCACCGTTACATGAAACGTGCATTGTAAATGTACATTGTAAATGTAAAAGGTACTACTTTGTTTTTTTCTCCACGGGGTCCAAAACTTTGGATTTTTTAATTCCAAAACAGATTCTGTTTTTATGTCTAATTATTATCTGTGACTAACTACAAATTTAGATTAAAACTTTATTACCAATTATACCAAAATTTTCATTTCCATATATTATGATGTATTATGTTGAGTATTGGTTATTGTGGTAGCATTGAATTTAATACAGAAGTTCAGCTGATTTTTTGATTTTTGGTGACCTGAACTTTGTTGTACCCTGTATGCTATCTGTCTAATCCATCCATACATTGTGATGTAGTATGAAGAAAATAGAATTGTTATTATTATTATTCTGGGCTAGAAATTGAATGACTACAACGATGTTTCTTTCTTAATTTGCAGTCTAGCGTAAAAACAGGAACATACAATATTTCTTCAAGATCGACTCAAAGCAGTATTGTATAATTGAATGAAATAAAATCACCAACAAGATATTTTCTTCGGTGAAGAAAATGACCAATCAATGCCAATAACTATATAATACCTGTGAACAAATAATAATCGTATGTTATATTTTTTTCATTTTATCGTACATTCTCAAATGTTAATCACAAAACATTATTTATTGTTTCCATAATAAACAGCAGTATACATAGATGGTGATTAGATGGAAATCCTTAAATTGGAATCGAGCGTGAAGTGGAGCATCCCCATGTATTTTCTGCAAAACTATATCGCAATGAGATGAGCCTCCGACACTCACTTCGCCGTTGTATGTGGCAACGGTGACTGCGATTATTTAGTAAGATCATACACGATCGGAAGCTGATGAATGAGAAAAAAACGTGGAGAACCTATCTCCATAAAACTGAGAAGATCACCTGGTTTGAGGATGGCCATTGGTTATACTAAAGAACGGTACAAAGTTGTGTAGAAGACCGCTGTACGAAATATTAAACACATAATAATTAGGCTCGTAATAACTATGCGGGAGTGAAAAGGCTCGGCGACTTCTTATTCTTGCCCTTGGCGGTGTTGCCTGCTTCGCCACAAAATTTCTCATCGACTTTTGCATCCAAAAGCATGCATCGAACTTTTTCCATAATTGTTCGATTATACCGTTCACCAATATGTTCCTTTTCAGAATCAGAGAAAATTAGTACATCTTCGATGTACACATATGCGAACTTTCCGATATATTCATGCAAAATGTCATTTACGCATCTTTGAAAAATGCTTGGTGCATTTTTCAATCCAAACGGCATTCGTTTGAAATGATATTCTGCATGATTAATCGAAAATGCAGGTTTTTCTCTATCACTTTCTTTAATCAATATTTGATGGAAACCAGATTCCAAATCAATCGTTGAAAATACTTTAGCTTTACCGAGGTTTTGAATCATCATATTTATATCAGGGATAGGATATTTATCAGTTATTGTTTGTGTGTTCAATTTTTGGAAATCAATTACCATTCGACGTTTTGGTTTACTATTTTCATCCAACCAATTGATCAATGAAGAAAATACCATTCAACAACACCATTTTGTTGCGGGGTGTAGGGAATGGTTTTTTGATGAATAATGCCATTTGTCTTAAATAGCTCTTCGACTTGTTTATTTACGAACTCACCTCCGTTATCGCTTCTCATAGCATTGATTTTCTTGTCAAGCTGTTTTTCAACTAAGTTTTTAAATTCGATAATTTTACTATACACCTCATGAGGTGCACTCTTCAACATCATGACGTATAAAAATACTTTTTTTGAGTGATCATGTACAAAACTTATGAAATAACGATGGCCCCCATTGATTCCATTGGCATTGAACCATGTACTTGTACGTCCATATGAATCAGCCCTAAAACTTCACTTGCATTTGTACCGCTGCTTTTATACGAATTTCTTGTTTGTTTGCCCATGATGCAAACCTTAAATTTTTCTGTTGGTGTACATATATCGCCGATCTCTTTTATATTTTTCATAGCAGCGTAACCTGGGTGACTCAACTTTCTATGCCACTGCACCATTTCACTTTCTTCGCTGTTCTTGCTTAGTGATATTTTCTCAAAGGCGAGTTCGGGTTTTGCATTCAGCTTGTATATACCCTCGTTTAATCGCGCTTCCATCACCATTTGCCCTTCTTTGCTGATTATTTGGCACCTTCTCTGGCTAAAGTTCACATTGTGGCCTGCTTTAGTGATTCTGCGAACTGAGATTAAATTGGTGTACATTTCCGGTACAAAGTTAACTTTTGTAAGCAATATCGTTTTATTACCAATATTTATACGAACATTACCAATCCCTTCTACTGGTACTTTATGGTTATTTGCAATCATTACTTCTTTATTCATCGGTAATTCTTCTAACTTTTCGAAGTATTCTTTTTGATTGCATGTGTGAGCCGTATCTATGTACCAATCGTCTTTCATCTCTTTTGCTTTTTCTTTATTTTTATTTAGCGGACAACTTTGGCGTTTCTTAACTGGACATTTTCGGGCCAAATGTCGAGTGCCACCACACTCGAAACATTTCAAGGTTTTGTTTGGGCAATTTAGCATTAAATGAAGTGTATCTCCACACTTAAAACATCTTCTTTTACCTTTATAACCTTTTCGGTACTTTTTGTTGCCCATTATCGTCACTTTGGCTGGCATTGCTTTGTTGTCTTCTTCTTCCTTCTTGAATGGATCTGGAATGCCTTGTAACAGTACGGTTTTGACGTAATCCACGGTTAAATCTTGTTTCGAATTTTCTATTCCCAATATCATGACGCGATATTCTTCTGGCAAACCACCTAGCATTAATGAAGCAATCACGTCTTCTTCTATATTGAAACCAGCTATTTTCGTTTTGTTCCAATACAGAAGGATGGCATTGATGTATTTTTCTATACTCTTATACTGAATAAGACGTATAGAGACCAGTTGGTTAAGAATCGTTACTTTCCTTAGCACTCCACTGTCGTCAAATGCCTTATGTAGACTGTTCCAAACTACATACGCGTCTTTTGTATTTTTAATATAATTGTACAGCGTTGGCTCAGTTAAAAGTGTGATCTCACTAATAGCCCGAGCATTATGTTGTGGACTATCGTCGGCTGTTATCTCTTTTTCAATGATTTCCCAAAGGTCCTTAATGACTAAATACGATTTCGCTGACACCTTCCATGTATCACAATTTTCTCTGCCCCTTAGTTTTTCGTACGCTGCTCTTCCATTTCCATTTGAGTTCGACATGATTTTTAATTTGGTGTTCGCTTGACTTTCTTTACAATTACGGTCGCTGATGCTAGCATATAGCTCGGTCTGAATTCTCCGTAATAGTTCGTAAGTGCAAGTAACCTGGGTTCCGTGATTTCAAAATATGCGTGTCCGGTCCTATATTTGATTGGACCGGTTGATCCAGTAATACTATAATATATGACTATTTTTTTGATTTTTTGTGAATCAAAAAGCCCCAACCCGGCTCCCGGTTGCAAATTAGTTAGCGTATATTCAATTTCGTAAAAACCTTTTCCCAGTCTAATGCTTGAGATGTCTTCGTTGACATCTATCCAATGATAGGGAGTAAAAACAATCGGCTCAGCAATTTCCCAGACGGTGTAGCTTGGATTTATATCCGAAGCGTATTTGGGTAATTTGACTATAGCCATGGTGTTGTCTTCTCCTCTTCGATCGTTACGCTGACTTGCTTGAATAAAGTTTAGCTAACCTTAGAACAGGTTTTTCAATAAAACCATGGATCAAGAACAGTGGGTAACTAGTTAATAGTTCCCATCGGTTTTGGGAAAGCAACAAGTTTTATGACACAGTCGTAAACTGCCGCCCTTTCAATTCATGGAGCACAATAATAAAAGTTATATTCGAATAATGTGGGATTTGAGTTTGTTTAAAGTTGAGCTTTTGACAAAAATATCTAAAACCAGGGTATTGACTTTTGGTTAGATCAACATATCAACAGAAGGCGGTATATAGTTGTTTATTCCTCGTAGTTAAAATCGTATCTCATCGATCCGCTTTAACTATGTGTTTCGAATATGCACTTGCGTCTTTGCGACGTCTATTACTTTTAACGAAAATGACTTCTCCAATTTTAAAATTTCGTTTTTCGCGATTTTCATTGTGATACTTTAATAATTTTTCTTTGTTTAACAACGTGTCAATTCTATTAAAGTGTTATGTGCCCGTTCTACTGGACCGTTGCTAGTTGAATGTTGTACAGGCGTTGTTGTTTGTGTTAGTTGCTTACGAAAATCGACCCGTTATCAGTTATAATCGTTTTATAATCGGGGTAATTTTGTGTCAGAATTACCTCGAGTTTTGTATGAAAGTTTATTTTATTTTCAATAAGGAAAACGGTGAAGAATTTTGAAAATCGGTCTAAACAGGTTATCTATAATTTTATTATCTAAATGAAATATGTCCATTGAGATGGATTCTCCAACGGTTTTTGGGATCGGTGTAGAACCAATCGGTTGTTTAACCAGTCTTCTTTCATACTTTTCCAATTTGCAGATTTCACAACTCGTTGTTCTTTTTATGAAATCTAATTTAATTTGAGGCCAAAAATATTTTTCCTGTGCTTCGAGGTAGTTATTTATTGGGTTTCTATGAGCTCTGTTGTGAATTTCTGTTATTATACCCAATTGTTCATCTAAATCGGTTATGTTTTTTACTCTATTTGTTGTGAATACGATTTTTACACTAGGAAAATGATCTGGAATTGACTCCTTGACTGAATAAAATAATTACTCTGTACAGGAAATGGCGGGTGTATGTCATAAGTCCATTAGGCATAAGTCCATAAATTAAAACGACTGTAAGTCCATAGCTGAATGGTCATAAAATACGGTTATAAATCCATTTTTGGGTATGGATGTATGACCTAATTGAAATGTGGACTTATTACCGAATTTTTGGAATTTTCGAAAAAATCGTATATAATCCCATAAAAAAATTTATATCAAAATTAAAAAAAAAATCAATTAAAATTATTTGACTCCATTGAAATGTGTATGCTTTGTTAAAGCAGAAAGCGGGAGTTAACGAACGTTATTATTCATTGAATAAATTTTGGTATTTTGTTAAATTTTATTTTAGAATCTCAGAACAACTTCAATATCATTGCTCAATTCAATCAAAAGCATTAATTGAATAGAGCAGAGAAAAATTATATTTCAATTCTGATTGTGACGAATATATTATTATATTCGTAAACAGTTAATTATCAATATCAATAACGATATTGATTGAAATAACAAATGTATATTGCAAAATCAAAGTCACACCAATAGTTAATTATTAAAACAAAATTTGTGGTCAAATTTAATAGAAAAAGTTAATTGAAAATAATTTAATTTAAGAACAAAACCTTTATAAAAATTTACTATATAAATATCAAGATAGTTCATTGTAGATTGGTTCAGTTTGTAAAGAGAACAATAAACGTAAAACACATAGTGTTGATTCTTCCTTTATATCTGTTCCCACTTGTTTTATTCCAACTTTGAAACATTTTATTTTCAGTCACCGTACGTGACATTAACTCGGGCGAATTCCCATATTTTATTCGAAAATAAATAACGAAATATATATAAATATGCCAATTTGTTCAAAATAAGTTTGGTCATTAGCATTAAGCGAGAAAAACCATTTTTATGTTCACAACTGCATTGAAAAATAAATTCATTTGACTTACAAATACAAAAAATATCAAGCTGCCCAAGAACCTAAAAGTTCTCTTCATTTTTGGGTATCTGAACGCTCTTTTTCTACACGAATTCCCTGAATTCTTCTATCGCCATTGAAATAAATTATACATTTTTCAACTATATCGTAATAGTAATAATTTTTTTATACATGACTACTTTTTCTCCTATAATATCGATTTACATATTGAAATTTCTCTTCTATGTGATACTCAAATTCAAAATCATACATTTCACGGTTATAATACTTCATGAAAGAATTATAAATGAAAAAATTTCCACCGTTACCAATGAAAAAGTTTACAATTTGCAGGGAATCATTAAAGTCTACATATGTACAATTAAACAACAACTTTATAATGAATTATGGCCATTCAGTAATTTTAAAAAAACGGGACTCTATGTGCAATTTTGTGCTATTACTAATACAATTATAATGACAAATTTTGTTTAAATATTTTTGATACAATAATGTTTCTTCTAAATTCGTTTTCTTGCTGTTTGGTTGAGGTTGATCGATTTCATCATTTTTTTGTGTTTTAATATTTGCAAAGTAACTATCATTTCCGTCATACAAATAATCAGTTGCTTTGTACTTCATTTGTGAACAAGAAATATCACAAAAATAATCATCATTTCCATCGAAGAATAGGCCACGGTGACTCGAATTTATCTATTCATGTAAATACAACAATAGTGTTTTTATTTTCGACACGACAAAAAGGTAATATTTTTACGCAGTATTTTTGTCAGTCTACTAAGGATTTTATCATACATTGTAATATTCGGTGAGTGCCACTGAAAAAATATTCATACTTATTCAGTGCGTGAGACGCATGCGGATGAGATGAAGCAAAGCGAACGGGAAGCGCGCAACTAGAACATAGAGTCAATGGGTACTACGTATTTGTGTCCGTATTCTAACGACGGAGTGACGAAATGTATGCGCGCTATATCGTTCGTTCGTATGGAGTTGCCCGCTTCTCTTTCGCTTTGTTTCGTCTCATCCGCATGAGTCTCACTCACTAAATGAGTGACCATGCGTCTCACGCACTGAATAAGTATGAATATTTTTTCAGTGGCATTCACCGAATTTAAACAATGTATGGATTTTATAGGATCAACCAAAATAGAGAGATGATTTTAGGCAAATATTTTATTAATGTATTTAAATACGATTGTTTTGAGAGCCGATTTGTTTCTATGAATTTGATCAAAATTTGAAATAATCAAATAAAGTCATCATTCAATTTATTTCTGAATGATTTGGCCAAAAATGAATATCTGTGATGTTTTTTTTGTACAGAAACTTATTTTCAGTTCATCTAACTTTAGTTTTGAAAACTGTTCGTAAATTGTCACTGATGACATTTGAATGTAAATAGTCAGAAACAGAACGTCAAATCAATCAGCTGTTTTGGTTGCATAAGACGTTAGTCCCATCGTTTGTGTACAGCTCAAATAGCTAGGTCGATTTTTTTAGTTTGAATCAAAGGTGTTTTTGAGTTAAAAGCAATTTCAAATTGTATATTTGATACAAATACCGATATAGCTCAAAAGTCATGAACAATTTTTTATAGTGACCCACTAATTGCTTCAAATGTTTGGTTATTGGAATAAATCACAATTACGGCAATCTATATCAACACATCGCAAACATGTGAAACGACGTACGTTGCTTATTATTGGGTCAATACGAAATTTTTCTAGTGGAAAATATTCGAAGTTGGGAGATTTGTATGCTCGATTGGGACTAACTGGTGGTGTATCACAGGTGGAAATCAAAAAAGCCTACTACAGATTATCAAAGGAACATCATCCTGATAAAAATGAAGGCTGTGCCATTTCTACGGCAAAATTCCGAAGCATTACCGAAGCGTATGAAATTCTTGGCAATGCAACAACACGGGCTCAGTTCGATAGAGGTAAAGTGCGATTTCGTTCTGAAAACATTACGTCAAAACTTTCTTTTAAAAGCAAAACAATTTAGATGCCGAAATGTCTTGAAATTGAATCAATTTAATGAAAAACTCATGAAAATTTATTCTTTTTGATGTACAGAAACACCTTACGGAAGAATGTCGAGGCGAGTGAGACCAAACAAAGCTCAGCCGAGCTCAGCGTTTAGCCAAAAAGATGATGAGCTGGCCGAAAAGATTCGAATTTTTCGTGAAAATATGCGGCGAAAGTCAAAAAAGCCAAGTGAAGACGAAGAATTCACATTCCGACGCGAAAATATGTTCGATTTCGATGCCTGGTATCGTGCCCATTTCTACGATGACTTTGAAACAAAAATTCGAGACGAGCGAAAGAAAATGTATGCTGAACAATATCGCCAGCAAATGGAACGAATGTCAAAGGGATTACATAGCATTCGACCACCAAGACCTTACGCAGAGCGTAAAGAACAATCCGATATTGATTATCAGATGATGGAAATGCGAGAGAAAGAAATGAAAAAACAAATTATAAACCTAGTACAATTAACAATGACTTTTATAGTTGCCATATCTATTGCTTTATTCATATTGCAGCAATATTTGGATAGAAATAATCAACCGTATCAGGATCCATACGCAAAGCGAACGGTAAAAAACGCAACGACTGAAACGGAAAAAGAAAAATGATTTTTGTTTTCGTGTAAATAAAAATTCTCGTACAAAAAATATAATCTCTTCTTGTATTTATTTCATTTTTGAGGTTAGGCTGAGCTATGACATAAGAATGAATGACAGCAAACTTGACACTTTACATTCTCAGAGTTTTGTACAAATTGAGTTCTTATTACGATGTTGATTAGACATGTTCATAGTTTAGCATGAATTTTGGCAGTTTATATGCACGTTTACGACTAACTGCAGCAGCAACACAAACAGAAATAAAGAGTGCATATTATCGCTTGTCGAGGATTTATCATCCGGATAAAAATAACAACTGTCCAAAAGCATCCGTTCAGTTTCGTAACATCACTGAAGCATACGAAGTGTTGGGAAATTCAACATTGAAATCCGCTTATGATAAAGGTTTTATTGCGTTGTTCACTTTTATCTGATGGTTTTGAATTGAAAGTAAACTAATTTTATTCATTTTTCTCACAGAAAATTTCCCCAGAGCAACTTTAAGGGGCGCTTCAACGAGATTTCGGACATCTTTTCGTCGCAGACGATTCCATGACAGTCCAGAGCTTGCTTATTTTGAAGAATTTGATTCACCAATTCAACAACGCATGAAACAATATCGTATTCAAGTGGAGAAAAAGGATAAATAATCGCAATAAAAAGTGTATCTTGCTGGACGAGCAGTCATTTGTATATTTTGGTAGCAGAGAGCATTTGCTTCAAATCAATTTTAACTGAGTGTCATCATTTGAATTTTTCATGAAAAAATGTTGTTAATACGGCAATTACATTGTTTAAACTTGAATGGAGCGAGAAAATTTAGTGGAAGCGTACATCAAATAATGAGCGCAGCCCGATTTGGCACCATTTTGCAGCCTGAGATTCATTTAAATAACACAGCCCAATTCAAAATAAGTAAGACAATAGTCTAGGCCAATTAATTGGCTTCTTATTCAAATATCAGGAGTCATAAAATATATTAACATTGCAATTTTTATCTAAATTTTCAGATAGGCTAACGAATATATCAAGTGCAAGCAGTCACAATTCCATTGGGATTAGACATTACTATCAAAACTATGAGCATCATCCATGGATGATAGTACGTGCATATCGACAGACTCGTACATGGCTAACGAATCATTTCTATATTGCTGACCGACGATTCGAGAATATTTATTCGTTTACGTTCTTAGTTACATTTGGCTTGCTCGGCATTTATGTCGCTTATCTGAATTTACAACCCGGTGGTGAAGCCGGTGGATACGATGTCGACAGAACACAGAAAAACAAACCCGATGACAAATAATTTGAATGGTTTGGAGCGAAAATGTAATACAGAAAAGTTGCGCGGAAAAATGTCGATGATGAATGAGCGGAAAAGGGATAGCTATATAGTAAACTGTATAGTAAACTATAGTGAACTATATAGCTATCCCTTTTCATTTTACATTTTCGCTGCAACCATTCATTTGTAGAAAAAGTTGTATCGAAATCATTTAAATTCCCACAAGAGTGAAAAATAATAATAAAACCAAGCTGAGAAATTTTAATTCAATTCATCTCGTTTGTAATGTTTTCATGTAGAAAAATTCGAATATAGAGCACATGTTGTGTGAATGTGTGTATATTGTATGCATGTGTGTTGACATTATATCAGGCACATGAAATGTCAAATATTTTGAAGGTTTCATTATTTCATTCCTGTTGGTTTTTCGATATTGTTATTAGCAGCGAAGGCACTAGGCAATAATGTTTCAAATTACATAATTTTAACCAAACGCTTTTCATGAGTTCGATTTAGTGTTCAATTGTTGGTAGTAGAAATCTGTGATTTGGCTAATAGTGATGAGAATTATGGCAAATTTACGAAAATGTTCAAACAACTATGTGAAACAAGGTGTTTGTGCTATTTTCGGTAGCACTTCAACTGCGTGTCATGTGTGCGACCTCACAGATGTGAGAATGCATCCACCGTTGCGAACATTTTCAAGGACAAGCCAATTGGCGAAATCCAGAAACTTTTACGATGACTTGGGAATCCAAAAAACTGCCACTCAATCAGAAATTAAGAGTGCCTATTACAATTTATCAATGGTTTTGCATCCGGACAAAAACAAGGGAAATGAAGTAGCTTCGAAACGATTCCGAATAGTCTCCGAAGCGTATGAGGTGCTGGGGAATTTTCGCACCAGACGGATGTATGATAAAGGTACAATGATTATTACAACGATTCTTTGTCATTGTATGACAAAAGTTTGTGACCACTTTGAACTGTCTGATTGATTGTGAAGTTGAGCAAGTGTTTTGTTTTTTTTGTGACAGGCATTGGATCATATGGCCGAGCTTCACCCACAACTGAAAGTCCAGGCGTGGAAACGGAGATAATTCATGAAGAAATTGAAGACGATGCACAAACCAAATTTTATAAACAACACATGGTGAAATCTCAGCCACCCGAAATGTCTGACCGAATGACGGCTCGTGATTTTGACAATTGGGCGTCCAATAAAATTACTCAATCATTTCAACACCAACAGTACATCAAAAGAATGGTGAAAAATCGAGAAGAAGATGAACGTCAAATGACAACAAGAGGCGAGCAATATGGATATCTTATAGTAATTTGTACTTTAGTGATCTGCATGAATATCTACTACCAATACGAGCACAATCGACAACATGATGTGGTGTTGTCGAAAAAGGGTCGCGAGAAAAATTCATAAGACCAATTTATTGTTCAGATATTCGCATATCTATATATGATATAATTTATTATTGTAAATTGTTTGTATACAAGATTATTAGTAAATGAAACAAAAAAGAAATCGAAAAAAATGAAATTCAAAAGAAAATAATATAAAAAGAAATTTTTCCTTAGAATTTAGCATTTTAATAAATTTTAAAAACGTCCACTTCGTTTTCGAGCTGTGTATTTTGAGTCTGCCCGTACTTCTTTGCCTTGTTGACGTCTTCGTTCCTTTTTCTTCATGATCCATTCTTTGGAACCTTTCAGTGGTTTTTCTCGGGCCTGTTTTGCCATTTCACGCCGTTTTGTGTATGCAACGCGATTTGTTTCTTCTTCTTGTCCCTCAGCGCCTATGTGTGAAGCGAAACAAAATCCCAAATAAATTAAAAATTGCCTATAAAATACGCTTCATTAATTTGATTCAGTTTTGCTTACCCAATCCTTTTGGCAATTGAACGACGCCACCGGTCATGAGAACCAAGAAATATTTCTTTGCCTTTGTTGAATTTGGATAATCAACGACTAAACCACCATAGAAGCCCGCTTTCATCGCTTGTGTTGTGATCATTTCGATTTCGGCGCTATTTTCGGGATAGAATTGGAACACGCAACGTGCTTGTCGTGTCAAACATGCGAGTAATGTGCTGAAAAATTTATACAATCGCTTGCGTGGATTGTGTGCACTGTGATTTGAATGGCACAACCATTGTAAGGCTGAAATTGAAATGGCACCATCGAATGTACCCGCTTTGAATGGCATGCCATGGCCCATATCACCCATTACTAAATCGCCTTCTACTTCACGATCTACGGCAACATTCAACATGGCTGGCGAAATATCGATTCCAATCCATTGATGGCCAGCTTCTTCTATTGCAGTGCCCGACAGTCCAGATCCGCAGCCAATGTCCAATATCATACATGGTTCATCTTCTGGCAATGCCAGCAGTTCGATGGCCCGTTCACACATCTCCACTTGAATTTTGATGATACGAGTGCTAAAAATAGATTGAAATTGGTCAAACTCTTCGTTTTCATATTTCATGGCATTCATTTGACTTACTTGTTGGAGTATTTCTTAGCTTCATCATCATTGTAGAACTGGAAAATATACAAAAACATAAACAATAAGCATAATGAGACTGGTGTGGGGATAATTTGTCAATAAATGATGCAAACTTACGATGTCTGGTGGTGCTAAATGTTCTGGTCGTGACATTTTCCTCAATTTATCCACTGATACGATGAAAATAAACAAAATAAAATCAACGTGATATTATTTTACGCCTTGAGCATATTGCTTTGATAAAAGTGTTTGGTTATGCTCGTCTTCGTACTGTCACTCGATGTCATTCGTCGTTCGAAAATAGCCGCAAACACGGTAACACTTACGTTCATTTTCGAACTGTAGATCGTCATATATTATCGTAATGCATATTTCAAAATGAACTATTCATTCCAAGTCTATCTATTGTCAACATCACTTGACTATTTCTCCGAGTCTCGTGACTTTTTTCCATCATTTTTTTCTTCCCCATTTTTATTTCGTTCAAACTAAATATATTCCATTTGATTTTTTGTTTGAGTTAAAAATCCAATCGAAATGTTGAACAAATTTGTCGTGGCGATATTTTTATCGCTGGTTTGTCACGCATTTGCATTGGATTCACATAACTCACCAGTGCTTATCTTCAAACATAAGGAAAATACAAAGTCGTATGACTCGGGCGTTGTTTCTGCCACAACTCAAGTTAAACAACGGGACTTCGAGCAACGTTTGCGGACACTTGATGCAGGCCAAAAAATCATGGTATTCGTTGCATCGGATTTAAGCCCAGAGGATCTCGCTTTCAAAAATGAAAAACACGAAAAAGCCTTCGGAAACCTCGCCAGTAACCTCGATATAGTAGAGTAAGTGAATACTTAAATCTTATTTTCATTGCAGAGTAGTTTATTTAACCATAATAATTCATTCCACAGTTACATGCTATTCGTTGAAAATGCTGTGAACAACAAAGTGACCCAAGGTCAAGATGTGGCACACACTGAAGTGTCGGCAATCAACGAATTGGAAGAAGAGCCAAGCAGTGACAAGAGAATCATCATTGTCAAATTGCCCGGATATCACGTATCTGAGCAAAAATTCCATTGGTTGCGCCGCATTGACCGTGCTTTGTATGCTGTAAGCCAATTGCCACAATACAAAGACTATCTCTTTGTTCTCACATCGGAGCAAAACTCGCGTTTGCAACAACATTCACGCAAACGACGTGCCGCTGACACACCAACAACACCAACAAACCACTCCGACGCCAATATCCTGGTCTATTTCAAAGATTTCGTGCAAAAGAATAAGAAGACTGCTGACGAATCAATTTTAACTGGCCCTATCTCATCAACCAAAGCAGAAAACACTATCACTCTTACGATCGAAAGCAAATTCCCGCTTAAATTGGCATTTGACTATGAACCAGCAGCCGACTATTGGGCTCTAAATACAGCGACATCCACCATTTCAGGCAAACCATTAGATGGTAAAGTACAGACCCAAATTGGTGCACCAAAAAACATTTCATTCAGTTGTTCGTCGGCAGTTTACTTTACCGTGGACGATGAAAATGTTGCTGGTGTGTACTTCAAGGGATTCCAAGTTCAACCAAACATTAACGGCACTGATAAACTTACAAAGTTTGGCGATTCATATGATTGCACTGGCTTTGTAAGTATTCCAATCTGGTCTGGCTTGTTCATCACATTTTTGTTGCTCGGTATTGTTGCGACAGCCGTTTCATACATCATGGACATTCGCACCATGGATCGCTTTGATGATCCAAAAGGAAAGACTATCACAATCACCGCAAGTGAATAAACACAATATCAAATGAAAAAAACAACAAAAAAACACCAATACGTTTGCTCCAAAAGTCAATAGCGTGCCTTTATGTTACATATGAAATTGTTCACAAATCATTTATTGATGTTGATTGAAATTTTAATGTAAGCAAAATATCAATTTGTTTTTTTTGGAGACAAACGCTCAAAATAAATAATTTAGGAACCAGTTTAGGGTTACAATAGACAAACAAAAAACAAAACAAAAATTCTGTTACAATTGCCAAAGTTCACTGTTCTCTTCTAAACTTTGTAGATCAAATAAAGACACGAAAAAAACAAATTGCTCAATTCTGGTAATTTATTGGTTCGTCAACGATTGTCTAGAATATTTAAAAAAAAAGAAGAAGATAAATACAATATATTTCGGAAGAACATTAGATCTAAAAATAGGTATGAAAATTTTATTAGCTATCGATTGGATGATATGGACTGGTACATTTGATGACCTTAAAATTTTTGAATCGATTTATTCGGCGTTTCCATTGGATTTCTGGACGAGTTGTAGTTTTTCTGCTTCTTTAAGACACTCGGCGGCAATTTCTCGAGCTTTTGCCCGGCTTTCGTCAGGCAATTGCGACAAACCGTTAAGCAAGTCGATGACATCGGTGCTCAGTAGTTTTTCGGCCATTTCGTTGCTGGAACGAATGACATTCAAGACGATAACCAAACCTCGATGTTGCACTTGTGGTGATGGATTGGCAATTAATGTGTGGAATATTTCAAGCCATGATGCTGGTTCGAACATTTTTTCACAGCAAATCTTGCTGCAGGAAGTGAGAATGGCCAATGCACCCGCCGCAGCCATGGCTGTCTCTTCATCTTCTTCTTCGCTCAAAAGACACAAAAATTTCACACGATCATTATTTCCTTCGAAGAGTTTTATCACATCTTCAGACATGACCAAATTGCAGATGACTTGTGTGGCGGCTCTGCTCAACATCAAATGGTCTTCCATGAGGTACATTTCGATTTTATTCAAGCCTCCTTCTTTGATGATCCGTTGGCGTACCGTTTCATTCATTTGTGCCAAATTGCACAGAGCCATCAATGCTTCGAAGTTTTCCAATGCGGTGTAGTCCTGGTTGAGTTGATTCAATAGGGGTCGAATCACTTCAAGATGTCTCTGTCCGGGGAATGCCACCTCTGGATTGATTGTGATGCCGATGCGAGAGAGAGCTTGAGCTGCTTGCCGTTTTCCTTTTTCCGTGCCATTGAAGCAAAGTGGCAATAGTGCCTTGGCACCACCCTGTTGAACCACTTTACCACGTAATTCTTGTAGATTGCAAATGGAGTTCATCACACGCGCAATCAATTCTTTCGAGTTGTTACTTTCGGTTTTTGAAAGTGCAACCAGTGCCGATGTGATGCCTGCATCCGTCAACATGGAAATACGTTTGTTTACAAAATCAGCATCGTCCAATTCATGTTCTTCGGGTATGTGATGTTTAGCGAATTTAGCCAATTCGACCATTTCCGGAACCATCTCTTGTTTGTCGTATGCATTGCAAAGGTTCACAAATGTTGTCACAACACCGTACAACACATCCTGATCACCAGTTTTGGCCAGTTCGATGAGCGCTTTAATTGCTGCCGTATCATCAATTAGTTTTTCCTTAACTTCAGCATCCAAAGTCAAATAGGCCAATCCATCAGCAGCCCATTTTCGAATATCCTTGTCTTTGCCCGGTTTGATTAAGAATCGGCGACATGCTTCAGCCAATTTCAAAGTGGCACCATCTGCGAATGGACGAATAGATGCATCAACACCGCCTGAACTGCCCAACTTACACAAGCCAACCAATGCTCTCACTTTGATGGAATCGTCTTTTGAATTGTACAATTTCTTCAGAATATCCACACCTTGTGACATGATGGCTTTGGCTTTGTCTTGTTTCAAACAGGCCGCAACGATGCATTCACAAGCGACTTTCTGCTGAATAACATCATCGGACGAAGCCATGGCTAGAATCATTTGCAAAATTCCCTCGCGACTGATAATCGTAGAGCCAACATCTGGTGCACAGGTCAAAACTGATGTAAGAACCACGACGACGCGCACTTTTTCTTGCATTTCAGGGTCCAAGAGCTTGTCTTTGATAAACTCATCCACTTGATCTCTGTACCGTTCCCGTAGTTTATCGTAATACATGGTGTCATAAATGCGAGACAAACAAACGGCAGCTATGGTTCTCGATGATGCCGTTATTTCCATTGAGCTCTCCGATTTGTACTCTTCCAATTCACTGCACACCATCAGCAATCGATGTAACCCTTTGATTTCAACCATGCGTTCACCCCAATTCAATGCGTCGTAATGGCTGTTTCGTGTAATAATTTCAATAATTGCATCTCTGGCCAAACCGCTAATCGTTGGTTCAGTAATGGAATATACCAGAGTCGATAGGATTGCATCGATTTCGGATTTGTTCTCTTCGCAAATTTCCTTGTTCGGTTTGGAATCGGGTTTGTTTTCCATGCCCGAAAATGAATTCAATATCGTCTGAATACAGTGCTGTACGGCACTAACTCGTTCTGTTTCTCTGCTGTTCAAAATTTGCAAAAACCACGGTACACCGATGATTTGTAGGACTTCACGTGTGCGTTGCAATGATCTGTTGCACAATTCACCAATCGTTCTGATTGCATTCACGCAAATCTCCTTATTTTTCTCGTATTTCAAAAGGTTCACAATTTTCTGGATGACACCCTCTTTGAACAGCAATTCAGCACCGACATGTTCACGGGCCAAAACCAAAATGTTATTCATGGCTGATGTACGAGTATCTTGCGGTTTTTCCATATCGAATGCGATTTCCATCATCTTTTGCACTTTGCTGGATGTTTGGGCATTCTCTTCAGCACGCCGTTGAACGATGGGGTGTAAATGCTCCACGAAACTTTTCACTGACTTATCACTTTTGTCCACATTCCATACACTGACTGCATCACGATAGGCTTCTTCGAAATGACCCAGTTGTTCTTTGGCCTGTGCCCGACGGAATAGTGCCTTCGGTTCGTTTGGTTCCAATTCCAATGATTTGTTACAATCTCGCACGACTTGCTCGAATTTCTCCAATTTCAAATAGGCGGCTGCTCGATTCTTGTAGAATGTGGCAAGTTGTTTGTGCTGATCCCCATACTTGATGGCATTTGTGTACGCCTCAATCGCACCGTTCCAATCGCCCGCCTTGAATGCGGCGTTACCTTGCTCTTTAAATTCGACTGCTTCATCCTTTAATTGCTCTGTGGTCATTTTGGTTTTATCTACGTTTCAAAAATGAAAAACTGTTTTCTTATTGATTTCTCACTCTAGCGAATATTTTCTTTAACAATTAATACTTACACGTTCGGACACCGGCTGCTTTATATATGAATTGGTATGTTTTCACAATATGATCGAGAAAATTCGATGTGTTACACGATTTTTCACACTGATGCGCTTTTCCTTCGAGAACATACGATAGCAATAGAGTTGATTGGCTTTAAAAATAGCTGGGCCGATCTTTCGGATGTGTTCAGTGGAAAAGTTAAAAATAAACAAGTTTTCCGAATGTTTTGACAGCTCATTCAAATCGCATGCATCATCGTTCACTCAATACACACAGACAGTATGGTGCTCGCATCGGACAACACGGCACACACAATTCAAAAATAACTTGCCATCACTGTGTGTGTGTGTTGAACACGGTGTTCAACGTCGAATTCGATGTTTCAATATCGAAAGCATCAAGTGCACAAAAATACCGTTTCGAATCAAAAGCAAAGCAAACCAAACCAAACTAGACAGACACAATGCAAAGCAATGTGTATCGAGTGTCAGTACTTTTGCCAACCACTGAATTTCGCGCTCATTCCAAGCAAACGGTACTACTCGGATCGAAATCGCATTGCAAACAATTTACAATGGAAAATTCCAACAAGAACACCGGTTTTTCCGCTTGTGTGATGTGCGCCAGCAATTTTACAGACAATGAAGCACAAACAATTGTTACATCATGTGGCCACATGTATCACCGTCAATGTCTCTCCAAATGGTTCGCATCGGTGCAAGAGTAAGTAAATGAGAAATAGACAAACGTTTTTGGTTTCGTCTTATTGTCAAAAACTTTTTTTTTTGTCGATTTGATAGTTTAAATCCGCATGGTCATCTTACTTGCCCTGAATGTCGCACCATTCTCAATCCAAAAAATGACATTAAGCCGGTCTATCTGTACTATTCAACACCGGACGACATCAAATCCGAGCTGGAGAAACGTGATAACAAGGAAAAAGCGCATCTCAATCGTTTGCTACGCCAAAGTCAAAACGAAGTAAAGAAGATCAAACAGCAACTGAGCTCGGAAAAAGCAAAAAATATGCGATTGACGTCCAAAATTGATGCACTTGAATTGCAATTCAAAGTGAAGACCGAACATTCGTGTTACAACTGCGAAGCGACGACATTATCCGGACACCGGAAGATGATGGCAACCAAACCAAAGGCCAAAGTAAGTCGCATTTTGAACATATTCCGCAGAGCATATTATTCATTGATGTTTCGTTTTAGAAAACAACGGTCGCTGCTGCTTCGGTCGGTACAGAAAAACTTGCCAGGAAGTTGCGGTAATTGTCTATAGCCTATTTATAAATACTATGAAAACAAGAATGATGAGAGTTATTTTCTTCATTTATATAGGAACCGCGAATACAGCTACTCACTTTGAAGATGCTTCACAGAAGTTCTCCGAGAAAAAAAAATCATCACCATTTTCCAACAACAATGGGAAATTATTATAAGTTTGATCGAAGTAGTCAAATGCCAAAATCTAAACCGAATCAATACTTTAAGTTGGTCTCATCGTTCATAAATCATAAAATATATTTTTGTTAAGTGAAATGAATGGCATTGAATGCCCGATCACTTTGATCTAACTCTTTGTGCCAGTCAAAATTTGTCACATCGTACAACAGATTATGTTGTCGAAAAAAAAAATGTTAATCTATCTAACATTCCATAGTAAATGACTAAGTCTGAGATATTATTACTAAGCGAAATTAATCGATTCTAAGCGAAAAATTATCCAAGATTTACACAAAATACGAATAAAGTTTTGAATATGTTTACAATGTTATAAAAGCCGGTCGACATGGGTTTCATTGTTCAAAATAATTTTGCATTGTATCAGCATCTTTGAATTGATTCAAAAAAATTGGTGGTGAAATCTCGCCGATTCATGAAAAATGATTCGCTGAATGATTAGGATGTTTGGGCATAAGAAATATAAACAAAAATCGATGGTATAATTGAGTGCGTGTTCAGCATCATTCGATAAGCTGCTGTTGTAGAGAAGGAAAAAAAACAGTTCAACGAAATAACCCAACAAGAAAGTGTTTAAAAACAACAACAACAAAAAGAAATAATGAAATGGAATCATGTTGTGTTTGAAAGAAAAAACGTCGATGCATTTGATTTGTGTTCAATTTTTGGCGCTGGTTGCCTTTATCGCACAAACTTCATGCTGCTGATAAACGATTGTGTTCAGTACTGTGAGCAAGTAAAACACCCAGAACTTGCATCAAAACACACATATATACACATATCCACTGACTCATATATACATCGCACTGCGTGTGTCGGTCGGTATACACACACGCACACATATGACTTGACGTCAAAATTCCGTCGACACATTCTCAAGAAGCACGGTACCGCACACACATATTGAGACATTGCGAAAAGTGCTCACAAACGAAAACAAAGAAGAAGAATTATAGTTAGTGTCCATCAGTCGGCCATATTTGTTTGAGTAACTCTTAGTTGCAACGCAGTTCATAATTTCGAACAGAATGAAATGCAAAGCAAAAAATCCTTGAACACCAAATAAGAAACTGTTGTTTTTTCTTCTTCATCTCTGATGTGAACAAAGAATTCGCTTTGGTTACAATGAAATAGTTGTGTGTCGTCGTACATTTCATCGACAGCTAGACAAAAAAAAGAGATATACAATTTGGTGATATTCGAAAGGAATTTCTCGCTGTCAATATACCGCTTACAGCGGTAAATAAAGAACAAACGACAGAAGCAAAGCAGAAAAAAATCAAACCGAAACATATAATATAAGAAAGAATTGTATAGCCGCATAATATTGGATGAGAAGTGACCGAAAAACAACAGAAAATATATATATATACCGAACGAAATTCGTAATAGTGAACTCGTTTATAAGCCGATGAATCAGTGTTACTTTTGTTTGATTGACATTTCTATTTGAGAGGTGAAAAACCGCTTCATTGGCAAGAGAGGCAAGTCTTGAATAACAAGTGCAGCTACTGTTTGGCTTGGGCTGGTTTCAATTGAATTCCCCAAACAGAAAAAAAACAACGATTTCAAGAGAGACAAAAAAAAAACAACAAATCAGCAATTTAATGTGTTAATTCTCAAAAATTTAATTGAACCCAAGCAAAAAAAAAATTAAAAGCAATTGATTAGCGTTAAATATACACCAATTATAATTGAGTGGAAAAAAATTCTGTTGACATACAAGTAGCACTGTTGACAAGAAAAATCTCGTTTCGTTTCGTTCAATTCGTTTTTTTTTTTTTTAATTTTTGTTGAATAATTCTAAAAATTGCTTCATGACATGAATCCAATGCCGAACGGTGCACCAACATCGGCTGATGCATGCCTGTCGATAGTGCACTCTTTGATGTGCCATCGACAGGGTGGTGAAAGTGAGAGTTTTGCAAAGCGTGCGATCGAGTCATTAGTGAAAAAATTAAAGGAAAAACGTGATGAACTGGACTCATTGATAACGGCGATCACAACAAATGGAGCCCATCCCAGCAAATGTGTGACCATACAGCGAACACTTGACGGTCGCCTACAGGTACTGAACACATCATATGCATATTCAATCAAAATATTCTAACCATTTCTTGACTGTTTGCAGGTGGCTGGCCGAAAAGGATTTCCACATGTGATTTATGCACGCATCTGGCGTTGGCCGGATTTGCATAAAAACGAGCTGAAACATGTAAAATACTGCCAGTTTGCGTTCGATTTAAAATGTGATTCAGTTTGTGTGAATCCGTATCACTATGAACGTGTCGTATCGCCGGGCATCGACCTGTCTGGATTGACATTGCAATCAGGACCGAGCCGTATCGTAAAAGATGAATATTCGGCCGGTTCAGTCGTTCCGCCAGGAGCGCTCGATATGGATCCCAATGATCTGGGCACAATTCAACATCATCCACCGATGCCTCCACAAGGATATGGGTATCCACCAGGTAATGATAGTGATTGGGTTTTTTTTTATGCAGAAGAGAAAGAAAAATGTACGAGAAATAAGCGAGCACACACACACATTCTCTCGGGCTCGGGGATGGATATTATTTCTAAAATTCTTGAAATCTTCATTTTAGTTTTCGAATTGATTTTGAGGCTTTCAAAGTACAAATTTGCCTATTACTTTTATTTAATCGATTTGAACTTGGTCTAACAGTTTATGCTCCTCTTAAGCTTGCTCTTTTTTGTTGTTAAAACGCTTCCATTTTCGATGTTTCACTTTATTTTATGGCTCTTGTATTCTTCATTTATCTATTATTTCATTTGAAAAAAAAATTGGTGTTTATGAATTGTATTCGATGCAGGTGATCCAAGTCAATTGGGAAGTCTTTATGCGAGCGGTCGCATACCAAAATTAGAGCCAACCGAGACTCAGAGAAGTCAATGGATGGCTCAAAACGCACGTCCATCCGCTCTTGTGCATCGTAAGCTATATTTATTTTATTTTTACAAAATTCCAACTTCTTCATTTCGCATTCGGAATGCTTTTAGTTTGATTAGCGCATAACATAGAGATTAACCGCTTTAACCAAAACCCAGTAGATTGGTAGTGTATTGATATAATTTTTCGCTATTAAATGTATACCTAACACAATATTACCTACCAATTAAATATTTTCAGAAGGAAATCGATTTTGTGTGAAAATATCGAACCTAGTCAATTGTGAATTTGTCAACGAATAATTGAAACAAGTTTTTTTTTTCTTTTTTCATGAAATCGATTTTTCAATTTACGCAGTTATACGTAAACTATCATTCACTAATCGTAGCTCATACCTCACCTCAATACTATGTCATCCACCAGAGTCACATACTGCTGATTTAACAAGCAATGATTTAATTTCGTGTATGATCTCTTCCAGCAGCTGTTCCTCATCCAATGGTAATGCCACCGGGAGCACTGCAAATTCAAACAAATCATAGTCAAATGACGTCAGCGCCGCCGCCAGCTGGTGGTCAGCCACCAAACAATGGGCCTAGCATGATTGGATCGTTGCCAACCGATCCACAGCTATCTGTACAATCCGTATCAACGAACTCACAGCAATCAACATCGTCACCGACTTACTACAGTGATCAGCAATCAGCGCAAGTACCATCACAACCAATCAACTCAGCCAACGAAGGATCTCTACCGAATTCGATTGTGTCGTCGCCAATTTCGCCGCATCTCCAGCAAAATGGTTACAATGGGGCGGCAAACGCGGCGAACATAACCGGAAATGGGCAGTTACCAAATTTCGCACCACAAGGCACACCGCATAATGGAGCCCAAGGCACATGGTCCGGCCAACATACACTCACCTATACACATAATATGATGCCACCCGATCAACGAAATGCTCATTCGAACTACTGTAAGTGCATGAGACCGAACTCTTCGCATTGATAATAAAAAAATATGTTTGCTAAATCGTTATTTTCCCTTTTTGTGGAATAGGGCAAGCTGATTCAGGTAACCAACAGCGTTTGTTGTCTCGTCAACCGGCTCCTGAGTACTGGTGTTCGGTTGCGTACTTTGAGCTTGACACTCAAGTGGGCGAAACGTTCAAGGTGCCATCAAGCAAACCGAATGTCATCATCGATGGCTATGTCGATCCATCGGGCGGGAATCGCTTTTGTTTGGGCGCATTAAGCAATGTTCATCGTACAGAGCAAAGTGAACGGGCACGTTTGCACATTGGCAAAGGTGTACAATTGGACTTGCGCGGTGAGGGTGACGTATGGATTCGTTGTTTAAGCGATCATTCAGTATTTGTACAGAGCTATTATTTGGACCGAGAGGCTGGACGTAGTCCCGGCGATGCAGTGCATAAAATTTATCCGCAGGCTTACATCAAAGTATTCGATTTGAGGCAATGCCATCGGCAAATGCAATCATTAGCAGCGAATGCACAGGCAGCAGCAGCCGCTCAGGCGGCCGCCGTTGCCGGTTTGAGTTCACAATTGGGCGGCCCACCGAGAAGTAAGTTTTGACAATACAATTACAATCAAGTGACACGCAAATTTTATAATCAAAATGTTGCTCTTTTTTTCAGATATAACGGCGGCAGCCGGTATTGGCGTTGATGATTTGAGGCGCTTATGCATTCTACGACTAAGTTTTGTTAAGGGATGGGGCCCCGATTATCCACGATCATCAATCAAAGACACACCTTGCTGGATTGAGGTACATTTACATCGTGCACTGCAACTACTTGACGAAGTCCTGCACCAAATGCCAATCGATGGCCCTCGAGCTAATGAATAAAGAAAACGCGCGTTCTGCCCGAAGCAAACGCCACAACATTTCTTCATCCCATTTCGGTTTAATTTGTACAAACGAGAGAGAAGAAACACAAAAAACAAACAAACAAACAAACTCTATTTTGACATTGAAAATGGAACTCAAATTGTTTATAAAGATGCTTTCATATATTTACAAAACCACAAAAACTCAAACACACACACATACACACCTACGACAACCGACTTAATTCCACTCAGCAATCATCAAACCAAAATGATCTAGACCGAACACAAATCGTGTTGAAAAAAATCAAATAAATCGCATAAAAACCGGTGACAAAATGCAATAAAATCTCAAAAATTTATCAATACAAAACCGAAAAACAGAAACACAGACGATAGGTTAAAACAGATCGCATGAATGTGTTGAATGAAAACAAACAGAACATTTAAAGAAAAAAAAATTAGCATATTTTTGACACTAATTGATAAGACAAACAAAAAGTAATGAATCCAATAAATGAAAATGCCCTAAATGCAAATTACTTATACAAAACGTTTTAAAATTTCTATATTATACACACATTATTGCATAACTATTAAAAACAATTGAGTTTTTAAGTATGTTAGTTGGTTAGTTGCTGTTAAAGGATACGATATTTTTTAGGCAAACACAAACACAAATACACACACACACACCCACTCCCACAACGCAACAATTGTGACAAATTGCAAAATTGAAAAACAAATGAACAATTCAAACACATGTGTTATGAATGACAAGTGCGTATTAACCAAAAAAAAAAAAAAAAAAAAAAAAATAACGGGAAATAAAAGTTGAACACTACCAGATTCTACACTGCAATAGCTTTGATACAAGTATATTTATAATTGAATTGAAAATACAACATGAATTCGAACTACTCTGGATGAATCCGATTGCAGCATGACGACAAATGAAATAATGTACGAAAGTTACAAAGTAAAATTGAATGACAAACATTGTACCTGTTTAATAAGGAAAATGAAAGTAACAACAAAACCTACAGCTACAAAAAAAAAACAACGGAGAAAAAGAAAAAAACAAGTGCATCAACCTTTGGAATTTGCTGATTCCCTAATGGTTTCCGTTTTGTTACAACACAATCGCTTACTCACTTAGCTTATAAATAAACGAATGATAGTAACTGATATTTATTATGCAAAACACTCTCACACACAAACATTAATCATCGCCCATGGCTTCACTTCATTATCAGTTCAAAAGCAAGCATCTGTTTTTTTTCTCTTCATTCTGAATTTCTAATAACGCTACCAGACTTTATTCGCTTGATAAGCGCATATTGTTTTCCATTTTTTCTACTTACATGGTGTTTTGGCGCATAAATTAAGTGTTTGTAAACGCGAACTCTGTTTTCTTCGAGACTTCTGTTTTGTTTTTTGCTTGTGACAATTAACTTAACAGCTACCGTTCACCTGGTGCGATAAATCATAGCAATTAGAAAAAATGCAGCGCGTGCAAAAGTTGTATACGGATTAATTGCTTAATAATTGAATTAATTTGCAATTATAAGTTTTATTTTGCATCGATTGCCTTTAAGCCAAACTGAAAATAAAGCTCAAGAAATGTTCACACTTTGAGGGCACTTTTTATTTTCTTGCTGTAAAAGCGTTAATATTTTCTAAACGGCAGCTATAAAGCAACATTGAAATTAACTACACGGCAATTAGTTTCTATAAGTATATGTTGACTTTATTACTTTTTTGTTCGGCGTCGAACGCTGCGTTTCGAATGCGGTCAAAGTGTTTATATTAATCAAGAATGACAAATGTGAAACCAAATCAATTAGTGTTTGTTCACTCTGAATTGGTTTTTTTTTGTTCAAAGTAGAAAAGAGAAGAAACAAAAACGTTTCGATTGATTGATTTTTGGCTGTGACACTTCAATCAATTTATTATAGGTTAATTTATGATATTGTTTAATCATTTGATTTGAAGAAAAAGAAAAACACTTAAACCACATAGAGCATGAGAAGAAAAGAACTCAGAAAATTTGTCCATTTGGTTAAAACGTTTGATTTTGTTGTCGCTTCTTTTTTTATGTTTGATTTAGCTCTGGAAATTGGGCATAAGTTTAAACGAGTGAATATTTAGAGCCGCCAAAAGAAACAGTTACTACTTACCTTGAAATCCGAACAGTTTTTCTTAGAGATTCACGCTTTTATAATTAAACAAATGAATTCAACAAAGTAAAATACGTAAATGAAATTCTTAAAAAGACCGGTTTTCATTTTGGAATCATTTTTCGACTGTCGATTCTCACTTCCGTATAAGATGTACGTAAAGCATTTAAAATGATCGAACTTACATTCAGATATGCGAGTGGAGACACAAGAAAAAGTGATTTCATTCACGCTAAGTGAATGAAAACCGATCTTTAAACCTTGAATTTCGCATTCAGGTACCTTCTTCAAGGGTAAATTCTAAGGGAAAATTTCGAGTGTTTGACCATTATACGTGCTACGTGCAATTTTTTTTTTACAGAACTTATTCAAAATATCTCAACATAACACGATTCCAACGGACGCATTTCAAATGCCGTTGAAACGAATTGTTTTGGCACAAAAAACAACAAACTATTTGAAACCTAGAATAAGTTTAAAGCAAAATAAACCCCGACCGAACCATTATAAGACGTAATGGATAAAAAAAACAACAACAACTCACACAAAAAATGTCATAAAAATCCTTTGAATAAAGTAATTTTGCATAATAGATCTGTGTCTATTTCTTTAAAAAGAAATCTCTCATTGTGAACAAATCGAGCAAACCATTTTTCGGTCCCCTTTCAAGGCATTGTTGGTATGCGTGTCGTTTGATTTCTCAGAACGTGGAAAAGGTTTTGAAAAAAGCAATTTTTGTTGATTTTGGTAAATTATTTTTGAAAAGTGTATGCAAATACGTTCGCAATATGAACTATGAAATTTGTCATAAAATTTAAAAGGTCGCTTTAGTAGCGTTCATATGCCGCTTGAATCGCTATCATGGACGCAAACAAATCCGTTATGAATCTGACTTTTTTTAAATAAAAAAACATCTTCGAATAAAAAAAAGGTAAACTAAAATTGTAAATTCAATTTCTCAACACACAGTTTATAAAAAAAATTATTTGCATCAATAAAACTTAGAAAAACAACAATTATTCTACTGCAAACGATTCCCATTTGAAGTTTGAAACTTCGAAACTAACAGCGACATCTAACGAAAATCCGTGTGTTGTTGTTTCAAATTTCAAGTGGGAATCGTTTGCAGTGAAATAATTGTAGTTTTCCTAAGTTTTATTGATGCAAATAAAATATTTTTCATAAACTGTGTGTTGAGAAATTGAATTTACAACTTTTTTCTACATTTTTTTTATTATGAAATATTTTTGGATTTTTTTGTTTTGAAAAAAAGCACTGAGAACTTTTTTTTTGGTTCAATATCAACCGACTAAAACGATACCTAGCGGATATGCTAGCCCTTTAATTTTTATGATAAAATTTGCAATGGTCTTTTTTTAACCGAATTATTCAATGGTTTTAATTCTATGGATCCGCAATAAATCCAAAAATAACGTACATTTGTTTGCGAAATATTATGTAAATTTTTTTATTGTGAGAATATCACATACGCACTGGCAGAGCAAAGTAAATGTGAAATTCAACGTTCTTTTTTACTTCTTTTGAATAATCGTATGGCTGCAGCAATGTTCCGGACTTAATGCCATCTATGGAAATTTCATTTCTTATGAATTGACGATATATATATATATACATATTCTCTCTATACTGTAAACATTTTGAATACATAGCTATACACATTTCAAAGTGCTATGCACATTTCAAAGCGCTATACACATATCGATCATGTATGATGAGCTTTGGATAAAAAAAAATGATAACATATTTTCATATGACATTTTCACCGGTTGTCTATTTGAATTGATTTTACTTTGCGAACCCAAGGTTACGAAAATGTAAAAAAAAATCGCATGTTAGTACCCTTTTTTGAGCAAAAAACCGGTGGTTTTTGGTTGTTCTGCAAAAAAAAATTTTTACTCTTTTATTAATCAAAGTACGGATATAGCACTTTATGTTTCTTGTGCTAATAACTATTTTAAGTCCAGAAATGTCGAAATAAAATTAAAACATCAGATTGACTTTACAAGAACAGTGTTCCTTTCGTATGAACATCTGGCTTACACCACCGACAGTTGGAGGATTCTCAAGTTCATTTGAATGTCACGTGTGAACACAAGTATGAAAGAACATCAGCTGAATAACGACACGTCCATTTCAAATATTTGGTGAAATTTGTAAATTTATTACTTCATAATACTTTTACAATTTGCAGAATGGTTCATTTTAATAATATTTATTTACTGGTAACATGATTTTTATTTCAAATCAATCGATATTTCCTAATTTACTTATGAAAAGACTTATTGAAGGTGGTTGTTGAAGTAAAAAATCCATTCCGTTGGCTCTACGTGGGCATTACTAAATTTTCTAGGTTGATTCATCGTTTTGTTTTTTGTTCATCACCATCATTCTTCTTCTTCCAAGCACTTGAGTTATAATAAGTTTCGAAAGCAGAATCGCCGATAAGTCCAAGAACAGCAACACCAAGCACAATAGGTGCAAACCACATTTTACTGACCAAACTCATCTTAACGCTCAAACTGTTTTTTATTATACCAGGAGAAAAGGAATGACAAAAAAATTTATGATTTAATTTTCCACATGTGAAACGGATTACACACAATGTTAATTAATCACATTCTCAAAGGATTTCGGATAAAAAAAAAATAACTTACGATATCTACTCACACAATTGCTGTGTATTTTGTACTGTGTTTGTAAGAGTTGCACGTACGCACTGGCCTCGCAGGGGAAAGTGAAATGAAATGCTCTGCGTTCGAATTTTTTGAATCGTCGTATAACTTCACGCATGAATCATCTGGATGGAACCGACTACCAATGCCATCTGTAGAAATTTTAATGGGAAATTTCTACGTAACAGAAATATGAATTGACGAAATATGTATATGTTCACAGCTATATTGAATATATATAACAGCTGTTCTGGAACGCATATGATTTTGTTCACGTAGAAGCTTTTGATAAAAAAAGAGAACATTTTGGGATTTTTTTGAATTTCTTTATTCGTAATAAATACTTCAACAGTTTGTTGAATGAGTGAATTTTGATTATTTTTATCTGCAACTAATAATAATCAATCGATTTCATGTTTTTTTACTACCCCAAGGAACAATTGTTACATCTTTTAACGTTAAAAATGACTAAATTGCGTTACATGAATGTTTCTTCTACATATGAATGTTTTTTTACTACATTTATGATAGCAATCCAAATGAAATGACATATAGAAGATGTATTATGGATATCAATAGTTGTTGAAGTAACAAATCTATTCCGTTTGCTCAACGTGGGCGTTACTGCATTTTCCAGGTTGATTCATCGTTTGTTTTTAGTTCATCATCACCATTCTTCTTCTTCTCCTTTTCTAGATACCCATTACTTGGATTTAAAATTTCAAATGCAGAATTGGCAATAACTCCAAGAACAGCAACACCAAACACATAAGGCAACAGCTGATATGGTTTAAACCAAAGCTTATTGATCGTATTCATCTCAAACACCAATCTGTTTTTATGATACCAGAAGACAAAAATAATAAAAAAATGTTTATTCACATTTCACACATTTGAAACGGCATACATCGAATACGCACAATGTGAATTGACAATGACAAGATAATGTACATTAATTAAGAATTTCGAAATAATCAATTAGCTTACTATGCTTCAATTGCGCTGTGTATTGTTTTAATGAGAATAGCACGTACGCACTGGCCTCGCAGGGGAAATTGAAGACATTCTACGTTCTAACTTTTTGAATTGTCGTATGACCGCAAGAACCATTTGGATTTTTCGAACTCAATGCCATCTGTAGAAATGTCATTGAAAAATTTCTTTGCAACACAAATATGAATTGGGGAAATATATATGTCCGCAGCTATATTGAGTATATACCTGCTATTTTTAAGCGCATATATGCTTGCATCCATATCTACATATATATGGAAATTTGGATCACTTATAAGCTTTGTATAACGAGCCGATTGAATGGCCATTTTTACATTTCATCCATAGCGGTGCACTGCCCATACAAACGTGCCAGGGCGCGTAGTGCTCTACGTCATGTAGTTTGCATAACGTAGTTAGGGCGCGTAGTATTATCGTTGCACCGCTATGGTTTCATCGAATAAAAACGCAACAATTCGTGTAAAATAAACAAAGAAAACATTTTGTGATTTTTTTTTAATTTTTTTTTTATTCGTAATACTTCTACAGTTTGCTGAATGAGTATATTTTGATGATATTTATTTGAAACTGATTATCGATTGATTTTTATACTCATGGTTTTTTTTTATTGTAATCTGAGTGATTCATGGTTTTGGTTTTGGTTTTGGTTCATCACCACCAATCTTGATCTCTTGCTTCTGATAATAATACAAATAGCCAAGTCCAAGAACGGCAACTCCAGCTAGAAGAGCCAATTGCTGATTTGGTTTCCACCAACCCTTATTTGTGACCGGATTCATCTTAACGCCCAATCTGTTTGAAACAATCCAGTAGATAAAGAGTAATTTCGTTATTCAAAATTTTAAAATTTCGAATAATAACAAATATCCGTTCACAATCACAGTCAAAATGCAATAAAATATCAAAATAAATCCACTAATAACTCACTATGTTATTATTGCGCTGTATTTTTTACTTTCTGGTAAGAATAACAAATACGCACTGGCAGACGAATGCGAAAGTGAACTTCTACGTTTTACTTTTATGCATTGTCAATTATTGCATCAATCATCTGGATTTTTCGAAACGACTACCAATGCCATCCATGGACAGAACATCCAGTGGAGCTGTATTATCTCCACTTGTCTTGAATGTTGCATTGATTTTTCAGCTTACTTAAGATATTGGCGTACTCCACGATAATAGCAACAAAATACGAGTGGAGTAAACCATCACATTTTTCAAATTGGACCGTATTTCGTTGTATTTTAAATGTTCAAAACGAATCTAGCTATCAGGCTATCAGTAGTGAGTGTACTTGGCATGGAAGACAGGCATTTATTTCAGTAACAGTTGTCTTTGGAGACAAATACATTACTAGCTATTGCTAGGACAGTTTAGGGAATTTATTGTTAGCAACTGTCGTTCCTGATAAGAAAAGTTATAACTGAAAACACCAAAAATTTATTATTCGTCAAACTAGTGTTTTTTAGTCCAGTGCTTATATTCAAATCAACTTATTTCCAAATGTGAGCAAAGTTTATTCCAATTATTTACCAAATAACGATGAACTTGAACCATCCAAATGAGCCTCTGGGTCGAAGTGAAATCGATTCATCTAAAGAAATCTATTGGCTGTGTTAAATGACGCTAGCTTTAAATGTGAATGTATGGATTTTTTTTTCACAAAAATTCCAACCCATTTTAAAAACAAATGATCCTTTCGACGACTGAGGAATAACGAAAATGAAAATCCTTTGTTTACAAAATACGCAAACCGTATTCAATTTCGAACAACACTCGTTGAACGCATCCATTTTATATGCTAAAATGTCATTCTACTTTCACTTTGTTTGTTACTCTATCGTTTGACAGTCTAACTCAAACAACTGAACAAGCTGAATGTAAGGTCGAATGTAGCCGGTGTTTCGGAAAATTTTGAAATTCTATTCGAACGGAATACTGAAAATATCAAAATGGAAACCGATTTGGAAGAGCCAGAACCGTCCACATCGAGTCAACTACCACAAACTCCGGACAGTGACGTAAATGTTGACAAAGAACTGAATAAACTGTTGACGGTCGAAGATTTTCTGCTCAAGTCAAAAACGTACATGTTAGACTACGAAAAGCATATGTTTTTGGATACGATCGACTCAGATTGCTTGGTGGTCACCGCTAGGTAAGTAACAAAGCATTTCGACATCAATCCAATCCGTTGAAAAACTATTATCATCAATTGCAGAGGCATTGGATATGAACGTGTCGTACTGAATTTACTAAAAGTTTATTGTGATCCGGCGAATCTAATCATGGTCATAAACAGTGCCGACTACGAAGAAAAGTACTACCGTAGTCAAATCGAAGCCAAATACGTACACGAATCGTCCACCAATAGTAATGAAAGGTAAACATTTGATCCTGAATCCATTTGATCTTGATCAACAAACAAATTTTCATTCCAGAGAACTCACTTATCTCATGGGTGGGATTCATTTCATTTCCACACGAATATTGGTGGTTGATTTGCTGAAGAAAAGAATCCCAATGGAGCTAATCACCGGAATCATCGTTTTGCGTGCTCATCAAATCATTGAATCATGCCAAGAGGCATTTGCACTACGTCTTTATCGCCAGAGCAATAAGACGGGTTTTATCAAGGCATTCACTAACAATGCCGAAGCATTCACTTACGGCTATGGTCATATTGAGAAAGTGATGCGAAATCTATTCGTTACAGAATTATTCATTTGGCCACGGTTTCATGCATTGACTCGGAAAGCACTGAAGGCCTTTGAACCAACTGTGGTCGAGCTGCACATTCCAATGACAGAGAAAATGATTTCGATTCAAACCAATCTCCTCGATATTATGAATTTTTTGGTAAAGGAAGTCAAGAGAATCAATCGTTTCGTTGACATGCAAGAAATCACTGTGGAAAATTGTGTAACAAAACGGTTCCACAAGATTTTACAAGCCCAACTCGATTCGGTATGGCATCAACTCAACTCACAAACGAAACTTCTGATATCGGACTTGAAAGTACTTCGAAGTTTAATGATGTAAGTTAAGCACAATCGGTGAAAAGAGAAGGAAATTGATTGTATTCTCATTTGTAGCTCCACAATTTACAATGATGCAGTGTCTCTCTTCGTTACAATGAAACGGTATCGAAGTCAAGAGTATGCAATGAACAACTCCGGATGGGTTTTATTGGACACGGCTGAGCAAATATTCAAAACTACTCGTGAACGGGTCTACAATTCAAAAGATGGTTTGTATTTTTAAACAACAATGAGAGAGCATGATTAACGTTAAACAAACACATGATTAAATCTGCTTTTGCCATAGAATTCGAGCCAGAGAACTGTCCAAAATGGGAAACGCTGTCTGAAATATTGCGTGTCGAAATTCCTAATGATGCTAAAGCAGCTATCGATTCGGGACGTCGACCAGCTACGAAACCGATTATTGTACTTATTTTGTGTCAAGATTCACGCACATGTTACCAATTGAATCAGTATTTAACTCAAGGTGCCGAAAAGTATTTACTATTTACGGCCATGAAGAATGATATTCCAATCAAAAAGCTATCCGAAGCTTACAAGAGTGTCAAAGAAAGTGATATCAATAGTATTCGTTTGCATGGTAGTAATTTGCAGAATGAAACGATCAAGGTAAGAATGGATAGACCATTATTTCATCTTTCGATCTTCTTCTGATGTTTCGTATGCCGTCAACTCAACATTTTTCGAAATCTTTACAGCCAACTACAAATGTTGCTGCTTCAACGAGCACCAAGCGAAAGGCTACATCAGATGTAAATACGGAAGATGCAAACCAGACACTGAATGAAACCAAGCCGGAGAAAAAAGGATTTCTGCGCGATCGAATTGCCAAGCGAAAAGAGGCCGAAACGAATGAGTTTGGCGAGGAGGACGAAGGAAATAAGGCGGTGAATGAACTCGATGAACTTGCAACCGAAGACATATCCGAGTTTTCACTCTATCGGGAGTCATACTTGCTCACTGTAACGGAGAATAGTTCGGCTGCAGTTGAAGTCGCCGCAAAAAACGATTCTTTCGATATCACTCAAATGACGAACGGTACATTCGAATCATTTGCTGAGGTAAGTTTTTACACAAAAAACACTTTTTCTCTCAGAAATTCACCGTAATTTCATGTTCCATTCAGCTTGAGAGTCTCGATATCAGCCAAATCATTCAGCACCAGCGCAAGCCGATTGTGTGCATTCAAACGTTCAAAACGGGTGAAGATGGTCCCTTGTCGCTAGATCGAACGCTCAATGAAATCGACCCAAGCTATGTGATTATGTACCATTGTAATGTGACAGCCATTCGACAAATTGAGGTCTATGAAGCGCGAAAACGTCGTGTGCAAAGCCAACGACTAAAAGTTTTCTTCATGGTGCATGCACAGACCGTTGAAGAACAATCCTATCTTACATCATTGCGACGTGAAAAACAAGCGTTCGAATTGATTATTGATACGAAAAAAGTAGGTTAAAGAGAATTTTCTTGCTGTTTGCAAACTAAATTCAATGACGTCATTCATTGCAGAAAATGGTGGTGCCGGAGCATCAAGATGGCAAAACAGATGATTCGATGATAGCCTTCCAGAAGGTCACAGACGTTGTGGCGAACACACGTCAAGCCGGTGGCCAACAGCTAACCAACGAAGAAGGTACAATCATTCCCCGGATAATCGTCGATATGCGAGAATTTCGATCCGATTTACCGTGTTTGATTCATCGTCGTGGCATTCAAGTGGTCCCAGTAACGATAACAATCGGCGATTACATTTTAACGCCGGACATTTGCGTCGAAAGAAAGTCGATATCCGATTTGATTGGCTCATTGAACTCAGGTCGTCTCTACACACAATGCATTCAAATGACTCGTTTTTACAAGAAGGCAATTTTACTGATTGAATTCGATCAAAATAAACCGTTCCATCTCCAGGGTCACTATATGATTTCTGGCGAATCATCGACATCGAATATAGATATTACACAAAAGCTGCAGTTGCTTACGATTCATTTTCCAAGATTGCGATTGGTATGGTCGCCCAGTCCATATGCGACAGCTCAATTATTCGGCGAATTGAAGCAGGGCAAACTTGAGCCAGATGCAGTGCAAGCAGCTGCTCTTGGTTCAGATGAGAATTCAAAAGAGTTGGATAGTATTGCGGATCGAATGAATACAAATATCTACGATTTTCTACTCAAACTGCCTGGAATCACCACTCGAAACATCGCAAAGGTCATGATGAAAGTGAAAAATTTAAAAGAGCTCATCAAAATGAATTTGGTAAGAACGAGATAAAACTATGAGCTATAGACGAGATAAGCCTAATTTTGATTTGGATTTTTATTTAAGGAACAACTAACTGAAGTTCTGGGCAGTGAAGGAAATGCAAAGATGCTATGGGAGATTATTCACATCGCCCACAGGCCAGTCGAAGCCGAATCAAACGAGAAACAATTCATGTCGAAGTTCAAAAGAGGCAAAGGAAAGCGATTCTAAGCAAAGAAAAAGATCAATTGCATGCCAATGTTTTGGCTGCAAATATTTAAAGGCTTATGATTCGAAAGGTAGGAAATTGGGTACCATCGTTAACATCAACAACCACAATAAAAAGTGGTAAAAGTGAAAATTAAATCTTCACATGTGAGAAGGAATGTAAACGAGTTAGTTCTCTGAATATGTGTGTGCGTAGATTTTTTTTCTTTTCTAATGTTAAAAAATAAATAAAAACAAAAATTGTGAATGTAAATCTATAATGTTTGACTATGCATCTCCTTCACAGCTACTCTATTTTCGTTTGTATTAAAATTATTTTACATTTTTAGCACTACATGAAATGTAGAGCTACAAATCTGCTTTTATTTCTCGGTCAAGTTTGACTACTCAAATAAATGTTGGTGTATTTAAATTATATGCTCATATTCTTTATTTGATTTAAAACCGGTGCACTAATGAAGATTTAATATATAACACTTCATATATACATAAAAGATTGACATACAATTTTTTTATTTTTCCAAACTATATTTTATCATACATTAGTATCATACATTTTATTTGTTTCTTATATATTACTTCAAAGTTACTTTGATGAAATACATTTCATGTAGTGCGCCAAAAAATAGTTTGTTGTGAAACAACAAAATAGATTAAGTAACTAAAAAATCAAGAACGCAGAGCGGAGCGAAGCGAAGCTCTGCGGTCTTGTTTTTTATTCCAATGTCTTTGCTTCATGTTTTTTATTCTTACTTTAAGTATAGATAAGTGTGCGGCCACAATTTCTATTTTTTTCGTATGGGAGAAATTATGACCGTAGAAATTATAATAGAAAATAAAAAGGAATATGAATATACAGTTACACGTGCAAAATGGTAAAAAATAAACAGAGTTCGTTCCAAACATTCTTATTTCTTGCGTTGAAATTTCAGTTTATAAATATCGCAAGAATAAGCACGAGAACAAAGTTCGTTTCTTTCCATTAGTATCTGTTTCCATTGGCTGCCAAGAATTTGGGTCAAAACATTGTTTTCATGCTGCCTACTATTTTGTATTATAATTAATTCCAACTCAGATAATTCGCTGAGCAGGATTTGACAATTTTTTATAAACAATTTGCTAGGTATCTTTAGTATTTTCAAATTTTTCATATGTAACGTCAAGTTCATCAAAGCTACATCGCTGCTGTCCAGAATGTCCAGAAGAAGACTAAAAGACAATCTTTTGAAATCATTGAACACAAATGATCCATAAAATTTATCAGGTGAAAAACCTTTACATGAAAATGTATCAATTGTTTTGAACCGAGAAAATGGAATTCGATCTCTTTTTGATTCATAGTTTGCTTGTATTTTCAAAGTTTTCAATTCTGGTAAAATTTCATTCAACGATGGAATAATTAAATCGAAGGAATCATCTGATGGAAATGCTAACCACAATTTTTTGATTTGACGATTCATATGTAAAAAAGAAATAAATGAATCAACATCTTTTCTACTCTCCAAAGTTGTTCTGAATTCATCCATATGTGGAAAACATTTTCTTTCTAATGTTATTGGAATACATGATAAAAACAGATAGTTTAGATTCGGCATGTATTCTATTGCATCAAAACTAACATCTCTAGTTTGTCCAATGAATTTTTTAAGTTTTGTTAATGGCTTATTTAATGGCAAAAATGGATATGCAAAAAATTCTAATACTTCCAATGAATCTGCACAATATTCTAAAATGTATTCGATAACGTACTTGTAGGAGCTTGGTATATTTCTTTCATCCCAACTACGTGGATGATAATCAGAATGAATATAAATATATTTGATGGATTCACCGAAATTACGAATCAATTTAAACCACACTTTTGCATCATTAATTCTAATGATTGGTTTGATTTTACAATAAAAACTAAAATGGACTGTATCCAAATCAAATTGAAAAGCATCAATACATATCAAACGATGTGCGTGTTTTCGAGAATATATTGATTTAGCAATAGTTTGCAGGCGTTTACTGACATCGGAAATATTTGCCAAATCTGCTAATTCCAAGTAGGATAAAATCATTTCAATAGCATCGTCACACATATCGTCGATTTTTTTTGGTATTTTACTACATTCAAATATTTCAAACTCCTTTGGATGCGAACTGGAATTTTCATGTTCCATTTTACGTTTCAAATCAGACTGAGGTCGTCTGTTAACCCCGTTTGTCTAGATACAATAGAAGAAATAAATTTAAGAACATTATTTTCAAAAGTAGCGACTAAATGAATAACGCAATAAATTTACCACAAGTTTTCAGCGAAAGATAGATCTTTCTTGGTAATCGCTTTGCATAGCATACCAAATGATTTAATATCGTCCTGCATCTCATATGTTTTTGTCAGTGATTAAAATACTTGCCACTTTATTATCAATATTTCTAATGCCATCAAGTGAGAAAGAAAATGAAAAAATACAAAAAAGTACAAATTAAAGTTATTTACTTTACAGCGTTGCAATATAATACTATATTTCATTGAATAAAACTCCAAATATTTTATTTTAAGTCTGTAAAAAAATTGTATGAAAAAATTCCACTGACTTTATTGGTGTCTGACAGCTAACTAACTACTATACATATACTAGTTCCTACGTCATGTTCTCCTGTGAGAGTATCACACATACACTCATAAAAAAACTACGAATGGTATCAGTGCTACTATTCATAAAAAATACATTTACATATTTCAAATGGGATCTAAATATCATTATTTAACAAGTGAAACTGGAAATTAATAAATTTTTGTAACTGTTGATCAAAAACGATTTTTTTGCGATTTCTATATTGAATTTCTCTTATTTAAAGAGAAACTGATGAAAATATTGCATTGAAAAAGTAAAATGTCTGCATTAAATACAAACGATAACATGAGAATTAAACGCACGCACCGCTGTCATCTAACTTCAAAGCGAACAAACATAGTATACCTGTATTGTCATTGCGATATATGAGCAGCGCCTGTCCGAGCGCTCACGGCGCTCCGGTGCAAGTTTTATTCATGCGCCCCTGAAATTTCATGACCCAATTTTTTTTGACAATGATTAATTTAAATTTTAAATCGTATCTTTTTGTAGCGAAAACAGTATTTATTCATGAATTTTTTACATTCGATTTGTAAATAATTTTTATTGCGTGATATAACATTGAATGTTCATTATTAAATATTGCGAATTTTCGTAACTGATCAGTAAAAGGAAACTTTCCGGGCTTTGGAAGCGGCAAATTCGTCGATGATATCCTCATATTGAATTGAATCAGCAATTTCATGCTCAATTGATATTGTAGCTAAGCCATTCAAACGGTCTTGTGACATCGAATTGCGCAGGTAGTTTTTAGTTATTTTCAGCTTAGAAAAAGTCCTCTCAGCGGTTGCAACTGACACAGGACTTGTCAAAAATATCCTGTAAGCAATAACGGCGTTGGGGACAAGATTTTCCATACCGCTGCTCTTGATCCCGTTGAGTATATCGATGACTCTAACCAAATGACGATGCTTTACCAATTCCGCCACAACCGTCATCTCTGAAATCAATTCGTCAACATCAATATCACATTCTTCTCCCTTTGAAAGCGTTACTTGAAGCTGTTTGCACGACTTGAGCAAATTTCCATTTCTTCTATTTTGATCAAAATCGTCAAATTTGTAGAGAAAGGAGAATGTTGAATTGTGCTTCTCTAATGCAACGAATCGCTCCTCTACTGCATTGATTGCTACGTTCAAGACAACATCAATGAAATCATTTTGGAAGCTTTCTTCCGAATTTATTTCACGCCCAACAGCAACACGCTTGCGACTGTTTGTAAAAACGACCTCGATTTCCATACTCTCACAGATTTCTGTTGCTTCACTAAAAACTTTTTCAGGTCCAGTTGATCTGTATTCTTCCAAAAAAAAATTAGTACTACCCAAACAAAGTACAGCGGCTTGCAAATCCGAATCAATTGATTGCAGGGCTTTCGAAGCAATGTTAACGTGACTTAAAACATCGTACCACATACATACTGCACACACAAACGGATAATCAATTTTGTCGATAATTGCTCTAGCTTCATAACGAACTTTATCCTTGAAAGCGGTTGAATTCTCAATTTCATCCAATGCAGCGATTATTTTGCCAAGATTCAGCCGAAGTGGTTTCATTGCAGCGATTCGACTGGACCATAGAGTTGTGCAAAGGTTTTTCGGAGCTAACGTGGAAGCTGTCGTGATATGGCTTTTCATAATATCCCACCGATTCGAAGAACCTGAAAGAAATTTATAAATTTCTTCGACCAAAGAAAAAAAACTAACGGTTGCCCCCGATGCAGCAGCAGCTTCATTCACAACAAGATTTAGTGAGTAGTTTGAACATGGTACAAAAAATGCTCTTGGGTATTTTTCCAGAATTAGGTTCTGCACGCCGATGTTTTTCCCTTTCATGTTCGCGCCATTATCATAGCCTTGACCTCTCAAGTTTTCGGGATCTAATCCAAGTGATTCCAATTCATTGATTGCCATTTCTTTGATCCCAAGTCCAGTTTTTTCGTGCATTTCCAAGAATTCAAATTTTGCTTATATTTCTAGCGCCTTTTTCAAATTTCAAAATGTAAACAGTACAATATCGGCGCTCATTCAAATGATTGACAAGTATATTTAAACACTTTTAGCGCTCTTTAAAACTCATCTTGCGGTTTTTTAAATGTAATCGTCAGTAAAAATTGGTCGTTATGTGTTTAAATACATAGAAATAGAACACTCGCGCGCCTTCGGCGCGCTCGCATTAATTAAATTTGAGAATTTTTATTCTCGCGCGCCTTTGGCGCGCACGCTTTAATATACCAATTTTTGCGCTCGTGCGCCCTTGGCGCGCTCGCGCCTCGGTGCGTTGCACCGGCTGCACCGGCGGTTGGACAGGCGCTGATTGTGAGTCGGTTGTTTTGTTTTCGCAAATATTACGAAAATGGATGAAGAAAACAATGTGGAAATTCAACTGAATGTTGTAAGCATTTTTTATCAATTAATAATATTGAATTTCATATTTTATATCACTAATATTTTGTGGTTACTAATTCAATTCGAATAAATTTTTTTCATCTTCAGAGCATGATAGAAATGCCAGACAATCCCACACCAGAAGATGTCGGTCAAGCAATATTATTGATAGAGCAATATAATAGTGATAATGCCTTGGAATCAAGCAACGGGTCATCAAACTCGGGTGAAACGGTTTCGGGAGAAGAAGAGGCACTTGAAATCGTATGTAAAACAAACCATTCTAATGAAATGTTTTCGAACTGATTTATATACATTTTATGTCTTTTTAGGAATATATCACTAAAAATAAGCAAAAAATTTGGGATGATTTAAAAAATGATGCCGATGAAGAGGCATTTCTAAATCTTGCGTCTTCAACTGGCTATAGTCCAAACACTTGTCGGGACATATACAAAAATAAATCCATTTTATTGAGTCAAACAAATGATGATTTGTTCGTGAAAGAAATAATCGCAATTGCCAAACGAAAATTAGGTTATCAACAGAAACCATCACCAAACGTCAAAACAGATGATTCGATGATAGCCTTCCAGAAGGTCACAGATGGTGTGGCGAACACAAGTCAAGCCGGTGGCCAACAGCTAACCAACGAAGAAGGTACAATCATTCCCTCCACCTGAGTGGCGAATATCGAATTCTGTCTGAACGAGTACCCGATTGGCCAATAATCGAAAAGAAAATTTGCTCATTCGAAATTACCATTCATTTGTTACTAGTTTCCATTAATTGCCCACTATCAGTTCGTTATATTGCTATTAATTTCATTTCTTCTTTCTTGGTTCAGATGAGAATTCAAAAGAATTGGATAGTATTGCGGATCGAATGAATACAAATATCTACGATTTTCTACTCAAACTGCCTGGAATCACCACTCAAAACATCGCAAAGGTCATGATGAAAGTGAAAAATTTAAAAGAGCTCATCAAAATGAATTTGGTAAGAACGAGATTGATGAACGAGATAAGCCTAATTTTGATTTGGAATTTGATTTAAGGAACAACTAACTGAACTTCTGGGCAGTGAAGGAAATGCAAAGATGCTATGGGAGTTTATTCACATCACCCACAAGCCAGTCGAAGCCGAATCAAACGAGAAATAATTCATGTCGAAGTTCAAAAGAGGCAAAGGAAAGCGATTCTAAGCAAAAAAAAGATCAATTGCATGCAAACATTTGTTTTGGCTACAAATATTCATATCATAAAATTGAAATGAATAAAGTTGTTGATTTTCGTTTAAGATGTTGATTCGTTTATTTACTGCTAAAATTACAATCTAAACAATATTCCAAGCCTCTTCAAAGGCGTTGCACAGCTTCGAGCAAGCCAAAGCGGCTGATAAAGGATAATTACTAATTGAAAATGCCCCTTCAGTGTAGTCAACATTCACATTTCCATGGGCGAATGCGCCAATAACCAAAGCAATTGGCTCATCATCATTCTTGGGCACAAGCTCGCGTGGACTCTTAAGCGTTCCGGTAAATGACATAATGTACTTCTTGCATCCAACGGGTAAATGATCTGTGATGGGATTTTTAATGACTTTCATCAGTTTGATCGTTGTATCGGCTGCTCGGACACTCATCTTGTGCAGCAATTGAACTGGAAATTCAAAAAAATAAAAACAAATTAGCCGTGTCTTCATTACGGTTCGGAATCATTAGTTTATTTTGACTCAACACTTACCCATCAAACCACCAAATCGTTTGAACGTACGAGGGATTCGGGTTTGTGGATTGATTTCAATTAGCACATTCTTGGCGGTGTGAATGTACACCTGTAGCAAACCGGCACGGTTCAACGGAGAATCGAACAGCATGAGCAGCGATTGATGTGTAATATCTGGTCGAACTGAACCCGGATCTTTGTTATTCCGTCGCATAATATTGATGTGATCATCGCAATTGAGCAATTCAAACGTGTTTCCAACCTGCAACCATATCAATAACAAAACATGTAAACACATTGTCTGCGGCAACGATGAATGAGAGGTTAATTACCTTCACTGTTTCCAATTGTGCGCCTTCCAGAATAATAATCAACCGCTTCTCCTGTGATCGAATGTGACTAGTAGCCAGAAATTTGGCGGGTAAACCAAATTCATTGGTATCTTTTTGTTCAACTTCAAACTTTCGCTTTTTGCCCATTTTATTTTCCCTTCAGAATACACACAAAACGCGTCTGACGTGAATTTATAAACAAAACTACAATAGAAGTTCAGTTGTCAGATGCACGTGCGTTGACTGAGCGACTTTGACTTTTCAACCAGGCAATAGCATGAGAATTCGAAATTCGCACACAGTGCGTTCCATTTTCGAACGGATTTGAACGCATCCGTTACGGTGAGAGCGCATACGAGCAACTGAGTCATTTATTCGCCGCAATACGATGCGTTGTAGGCCATGCGTCCATCATCTAATGGAAAAACCTTAGTGTCGTCCATTTTTTTTCACGCTAATTGTTGTTGTTGCGGCTGCTTTATTGCCATACTGTTGCCTCCACTGAATTCGTATACGGCAGCTCACCATTTATAAATGAATATGAATGCTTATGCGAAATGACGTTCATACAACTTTCGTAGAGAGAGAAAATGATGCTGTTCACGGGGCGAAAATCGAGTTAATAAAATTAATTTTTTCACGTCGATTTTTAATCGTAATTTTATTTTTATTCACGAAAAAAACAATTTATAAACCGATTTTGTTCCGTGGAGTGTTGAAATTATCGATTTCGCATCGATAAATTGTATATTTTTTGTATCGAGAGAAAAAAAAAATTGAAACAAAGCAAGCGCTGAATAAAGTTAATGTGTGAAGAGACATTGTTGAAGCAGAAAAATACGATTCATATAGATACATTTTTCTGTCCAATATTACATACAGAAAGACTCATTTATTTTTGAAGAAATTTGAAGTGTATGTATTTTTCTGAATGCATTTTTGAAGTTACAAAAAGTAATTATAAAATGTGCGGGAAATACTGATGAAATTGTATTTCAGAAAATGAAATTAAAAAAAGACACTCAGAAAAGAAAAAAAAAAAAAGAAATTCAGAGAGACCAAAGAAAAAAAAATCACCCAACCCAAGATCAAATTGTTGTCGAAATAAATGGTAAATTAAAAGCTGTTTGGAGATGAAAAACAGAAATTATTAGTTGCGTTTTATTTAATTATGCACTAAAGTTAGAGCAAATTACGACATGAATTGCAATAAAATTAGGCTAAAAAAGTTTGAGTCATGGTTTAAATCATTATTACAAAGTCCATTCGGATTGGCGGCCATCTTTTTTTTCATTTCCTATTACTCATATATATATATATATATATACATATACACTATATTTTCTCATTTGCTGTTGCGCCATTGTTGCTGCCGTCTTCGTTCCTTCTCTTCGTTTGCCTTTCATGTGAACGCCATTAAATGAAATACCAAACAAAACAGAAAAAAATGAACAAATGTCGAGAATAATCGGAGAAAATCTTTGCTGAATGGACTGCATCGCTCCACAAAATTATTTGCATTCGATGGCAAATGATTCGAAAATCATAATGAGCATTTTAGTTTTTCCATTGGCCCATCCATTCGATGGTAAATCGAAAATTTTCTATTTGGTATTGCTAACAAAAATTTTCAATTCTATTCCAATGAATCAGAGCCAGTTGTTACGCGTAAACGAGAAAAGCTAGCAGCACGGGAACCGATGTACCATCGAATAAAATATCGAGCTAACAGTTAAACATCAAGGCGAAACAAAAATGAACACACACATACATCGAGCACAACGAGTGCATTCGTGTGTTGGTGTGCCCGTCAAATGCGAGCCGCCGTTTGTGTGGTGCTAATCAAGTGAAAACGAATGTCCGTAGTGTGTGATATGTGTGTATGTGTATGTGCGCGCTTATTTCATCATTATATCGCACTTATACATCCATGCCGCATGTGTGCTAGAGTGAAACAACCATTTTCACTTTGTGGCGTATAAACGCGAAACATCTCACCCGCCGCCGCCATTTTTAGGTCAAGTGAAGCCTGTATAAATGCTCTCTTTCTCGCTCTGGCTCCCCATATCTCTCCATTCCGATGAGTATGAATTCTCATTAAATCGACTCGGGAAAAAAAAAACTTTATTCATTGATTAGTAGCGTGTGTGTGTCTTTAGTGTTAAGCCAGCGAGTGTGTTCGCGTTTTCATTTTCATTTCGAACGAAATAAATTATTGAATTTATTTTCAACAAATCATTTTAAACATAATCACAAGAGGTAAATTTAGTGACAAAGATGCACTGAGTGAATTAGATCCAATTTGAATCGACGTCCATCGCCGACTGAGTCGGCCGTACCATTTTTTTTTTCTATTCCGTTTTTGTGTGTGTTGCGTTGAACGTAAAAGAGACATATTTTTTTTCTGCATGAGCAGTAGCAGCAGCAGCAGCACTAGTAGCCGTATTGGCAGTAACAGTGAGTTACAGTAACCGTCGTAGCGAGCGCCGCCATGTTTGGGAGTCACCGAACACTTTTTTTTATTTATTATTGACTGGCAAAACGACAATATCCATAATTAATAAGAGCGCATCGTCGAATTGCACCAGAAACGCATTTCAGTTGCATCCAATTCGGATCAATAAACGAAAAAAAGAATAAACCAATTCGGTCGTAAATTTATCTCCACAAACTCAACGGACGCGTATTTACAGAACGCAAACCAAGCCAAATACCGACAATTAGCCCACAGAAGAAAAAAAAAATCCGATAAATGCGTCGTCGTCGTCGTCGAATGAGAGAAAAAATAAAGAAGTCGTAAACGAAAAAGTGAACGGGATCTCAATTGTGTGAAAGTCAATGGTTATGACAAAGTGTGTGTATACATACTGAATACATTATTCTTCTTCTTGTGCCAATGATTAAAAAACAATGAACATTTGCACGGGTTTCGTTTGTCTCTTATTTGTCAAAGTCAGTACTGTTTACTTGTCAATAAGAAATGAAGACATTTACAATCGACGGTGCAAATAAAAGAAATTGTCTACCGACGGAGTTTGTTATTATTCCAACATTTGCTGTGAGATGAATAACAATATTTCTGTCAATTTTGTGAAAAGTGAAAAAAAATGTGTTATGTGTTGATGCCAATAATCCAAACGAAGCAAGTGCAGTTTGGTCAATTTTGTGCTCTTTCATTCATGTTTTCATCAATTTTATGTAATCAAAACTCGAATTATCTTCGTTTTTTTCTCGTCGCTTCATTGTTGAACAGCAACTGTGTTTGTTTCGTTGCATGTGCAGTAATGTCAACATTGTGATACACAAATAGATAACAACGGCAAGAGTACGGATAACCTTTCTGACTGTACACATTGCTGTACCACACCATTTTTACAACAATTTAATAATTCATCGTGATTTTATCACATCCAGTGCCAATTTATGCTAATATCAATTAGCAACTATCCTTGACAAAATGAAAATTGATGGAAAAACTGTTTCACAGTGTGTGTGTGTTTTTTTCTTCTTCCAACCGAAATATGAAAATCATTTTGATGCTCATTTACGTGTGTCAACACACAGAGAAAAAGAAACAGCAAGCACACCGTCAAAGTGCACTCCCAAATGCATTTTTAATGATTGTCTAGCATTGTTTTCGTTGCCTACTTACCATTGAATGAGACTTATTGCAAACGAAAATCTTTAGTTTATTCAAATATTCCGAAACAACATTTTCTATTCTCGCATAACTGTGGGAGGGGGGACTGTGAGTTAACTTTGGTCTCAAACTGAATTTCATCTTTTCTGCGGAAATTTATTCGTTTTTTTCTTGAATTTTTAAAAAAATTATCTCTTAAAATGAACACACAAAAAATCCGGCATTTGACGAAACTTTTTTTTCCCAATTCCAGATTTTGATGCTGTCGATTTCATCAGAACGAAGTGAGTTTTAAACAAAAACGCAATCGAACTATCATAGAAAGAACTTTGAATGTTTAATGACTTATAAATGATCTGCCTGAGCTGACCTGTATTTCAATTGATTGATTACGTCTGAATTGGTAAGCCTCTACCCCATTCCATCCTATTTGTTTCCAAACAGCAAAAAAGTGCCATTTTTCACCATCCCAGTGAACTACCAAACCGTTTCGAACAGGAAATCGAAACAAAAACCAAATCAACAACAAAAAAAATCATATCGAGAGTGACCACGGAATCAGTTTTTATTTCATATGCTTGTGACTAGTGAAACATACAAAAAAAAATGTACACAAAATGATAACATCCCAAAAATATTCGACAGCATAATCATTGTTGCTGTAGCTTCCTACTTCCGAAATTCGTTTCTATTCGTGTTTTTGATCAATGAAAAAAAGAATGATCGCGCGCGTGTGTATCAATAAGACAGAAAAAAGACTGCTCTAGAGGTCATCAAACCCATAATTTACTGTGAAGAATTTCATTTGCGTGCGAAAAAAAAATACGCGAGACGACAGCCAGCGACTCCGTTTCATTTTGTTGTTACTGTTGTTCAGTTTGTAGAAAGAATCGAATGGCATTCAAGGACGACAATTCAATACGCCCGAAATTGAACACTTGCAAGAAGAAAAAAAGATTCATTGAAAAGTGACTTTGATCTTTTTAGCGACCATATGCATGGTGCAATGAAATAGTTGCGTTTTAGCGTAATTCCAAGCGAAAAGTGAAAATAAATATCGAAAGAATGGAAATCGGGTAGTCAGTCAAGCGTCAACTACAGCGATGATGATTCGATTTATATTTAGAAAAAACGACTCGGTGCATCGATATATCCATGTGCATGAGAGAAGTGCCAAGGTTTTCAAGACTTAAAACTCTGAACCAGAAGCTTGCATTTTTCGCCGAAGGCAACACACAAAAATCAATATCCAATGGGACACTTTCTTTTTTTTCCCCCGTATCAATATGAAATATACGAGTGAGTTCGCGATCATTGTTGTTGTTGTTTTTTTTTCTCTTCGTATCTTTTTTTTTCGTCGTGCGTGCCGTACTTCAAGATATACAATTGCCGCTCTTTTAGCACCTCATTCACACTGTTCTCCGCTTGTTTTTCCAATTCTCTATATTTCTTCTTGAACGAATGTATGGATGCACACCAAGCCGCTAGCCTTTCATTTCAGTCAGTGAAAACAAAAAGTGTACAGTTTGTATCTCTCTATTAAGAGAACCACAAAATCGTGTTCGAATGGCAAAAGGTCTGAACCAGCGACAACTGAAAAAGGCGCGCGCATATGTAATTCATACACATGCAAATGCACACAATCGGCCGACGGAGCTCGTTTTCCTCTCTGTATTTTCGAATCGTTTGTCGTTCTCTTTCCCGCTGCCATATTGTTTTGCGACGATGGAGTAGAGTCGTTTCATTCACGGAATGGATTCGACGATATAAGATTTCAGTGCTTGGTACATGAATTCTCTTGCATGTGTGTGTGTGTGTGTGTGAAGCGGAGAAATCGAAGAGGCCATCATGTGCCCATGTGTATGTGTGTGTGCTGCTCATGAGTGAGTGCGTGCATGTGTGTAATGTGCTAAATAGATGTGAAATCAATGAGTTATACATGCCTCAAGCAACGACATACGTTCCGAGTACTTTCAGCTACGTGCTGTTTTCAAGTATACTTATACGCAAAGCGCGCATAACGATCATATCTGTCTGGAGCTATTTTCACCGCACAAATGAAACAAAAATAGAAAAAAAAACAAGCGAAACGACACTATACATTCACACATTGGTAGGTAAGACAGCCGTCGTGTGTCTGTCGGTTTTGCATGCAATCAGCACAACAAAACACATGCCAATTTTGCTAAAACTTGAGGTTATTTTTTCGTTTTCATGCAATTGTATTTGCGCGTGTTTTCCACTTGAACGCAATTTTTACACTTTCTTGTAGCGGGAAAATAAAGTGCGGAACAAAATTTGCATGCAGCCATTATAACCATCGATGATAACATCAACAACAGGAACAAAAATAACAACAACAACATTTGCGATAAAAGCATTTCCCTCGACTTTTACATTCCCAGTTTTTTCTTGATTGTTGTTCGAACATTCAATAAATTCAGGCGTTGCAGATGAGAAAGAAAGTATTGAAAATATGAGAAAGTGATGTGACTCGGAATTGGAATTGAACTCTCTAAATGTCATTTAGTAAAAGATGTCAGATTAACCAATAACTTACACTGAGAACATTTGCAACGAAGTGAACAATCCGTTGGCGTTTTGTCCATTCTCTTCAATTCTTTTTCTCATTCTCTAAATTTCAAGGGGCACCGACCAAGCCATTGACATTTTTCTACCTGCGATTCTTGCACGTTTCGTTCATTGTTATCGATAACAATACACATATGCTGCACTGGCTGCATACAAGTAACGTCAAGTTACTTGATACACCTATGCATTTCCAGGGAGAAGCATAGCTATGCCACATTCGATTGGCCTACTTATCGGATGCAGATGGAGAGAGATATATACATATAGCGACATTTCACCGACCAATATTTTATTACCAATTCAAGAGCGTTCGACGCATCGACGACATAAAGATATAAAAACAAAATGTGTCCAAAAAATAGTACGGAAAAAACTGACGTGGTCTTTTTGATCTATTTTATGTGTTCCGGAGCGATTGAAATGCTTGCGCACTCTGAATATGGTTGAATATCTCTCAGAATGTACCGCCGCATATCCTTCAAAACCTACGTTAATACAACAACACACATACAAATGAGATAGCGAGTGAGAGATAGAGAGAAAAAGTGAATACAAACGAACATCGGAACGAAAGCTGCGAAGTAAAATGCGCAAAATAATTACATACTATGATTGAACGTACACAAATACCAACAGAAATGCATGAAAGCCTGAATAAACAAAAAAATCGCACCAAACAAAAAAAAAACGCAAAAAAAAGTTATAAATGTAAAGTAATGGTACAGTTACGTGCTTCAAGTCAACACTCGTTCCATTCAGTTTGTGATGATAGAGAAAACAAGACGGCGACGAAGACGACGACAGCGACAGCGACGGCGACAACAACAAAAATAACATGCTAAAAACCCAAACGCAATTCAATCCAAAAACAATAGATAGCAAAAAAACACACACCGAAGCGATGAGAGAGCAGTTTCGACGACGAGACGAAAACGAACGAAAAAGACGAACGACGGTGTGTGTGTGCATGTGTATGTGTGAACCAGACATAAGAGACAAGAGCAAAATGCCTGACTTAGAAAGAGACGACAGCGTTGTGTGCATGCGGCTTCCGTTCGTGGAGTCTGAGTGAAATGGCCGAGTGAGAAATGAAGTCATAGTGTTTGGGTTTTTATTCGTTTATTGTTTATGCTCATGGAATGGCACATTGGCGTGCGTGCATGCGTGTGAGTGTGTGTGTGTGTATTGGTGGCGAATGGTGTTGAGAGCTTGTTCTCTGTATTTTTCTCTTTCCCTCGATGAAACGAATGCGTTTGGTTGCTGCTCGTCGCCTGTCAGTTCTATGTTAATCGTACTTCAGTAAACGTGTAGTGCTTCGGCTTGTATGTATGAAGCCTCGACACAGAGCAGAGTGTGTTTATTAGTGAGAAATGCTGCTTCTTGTCGTCGCTGCGTTCACACCACTACTGATGCATTGCACAAAGCAGCAAAGCAGCAGCAGCAGCAGCATCAGTCTCACCATATAACAAAGACACGAAATAAGAAGAAGAGTGCAGCACAGCGACAATTTTATGAGCGCGTCGTCTTTTGCGGCCATAATCTTTTTTCGCTTTTCCTTCACTTATACACGTAAAAGTGTCGTGGTACGAAAAAACCGTTTTTGCTGCAGTCGCTCCAACAAAATCGGATTAAAAATGATTTCGAACGACGTATTTTTGTGAAAATATCGATATAAACCATTTACAAACGCAACAAAATTGTTTACAGACCGAAATTTTGCCATAAAAAGTGTGTTTTGAGTGCAAAATCGTGCATATTGAATATTGTTTGACTAGCAAATGAAATGCCGGACACTTGAAGAGAAAAAATATTAACCTTGAAGTGATAATCAAATTCATGTTGCACTCTTTTTTTTATCTCTCTGTCTCTAGCTCGTTCGTATTTTCTGAATTCATTTTTTTTAATTGTGCAAAATCTATAGAATAATCAGTGAAAACGATCTCACCGCCAATACTGTCGGAGTGTGAATTTTTTCTTTTCGAAAATTCATTTGAGCGCACTTATGCTGTGACGAAACTGTTCATTTTTAACATTTGTGACGGCTTCGCCCAAACCAACGAAAAAAAATCCAGGGAAAAAAGTTTGGTTAAGTTACCTTTAAAAGTGCAGACAATATGCAATAGACTGATGAATTTTACAAGCTGTTCGCAATTTGAACAGAATAACTGGGTGCAATTTGAATATTTTTGTGTTTTGTTTTTGTGCGCGAAAATCGAAAATCTGTAAAGAAAAAGCAAAATGATGGAAATGTGCCATACAAAGCACCGATATAGCTAGTTGCTTTGCGAAAAACGGATTCTGTGGTCATTCTCGAAATTTCTTTGGTGAAAAAAAAATGTGGTTCAATGGTGGTGGTGGTGGTGGAGAAATGGATACGAGCATCAATATGAATTCGAGTATTACCTCGAATATTAATCCCAACATGGGATTGAATGCGAATTTCATGAACATGGTACAAAATTTCAATGCTAACAATCATGATGTATTTGATTTCAGTCTGCATTCAAGCAGTATGCAGCAAGGGACAGAATCTTCATCGGCTGCAGTTCCTGTAAGTATTATATGCCGCACAAACATGCGTGGTACCAATCAATTTTCTTCTTCTCTGGCTTCAATTCATTTTTATTTTATTTCCATGCTAATTCGAAAATATAGCAGGGCGTTCCGCCGAGACCGCTGACTGAGAAAAAGGATTTTCCGCCATCGGCACCAGCTATAATGGAGCAGAGTAAAGAAGTGACACGTACCGCTGATCCATCGCCCAGAGTTGATGGGATTTCCGATCCAGTAAACGGTTCAGTACAACCACCTGTTAATCCGCCGCCCGATCGACCGGGCCGAAATACAAATCAGTTGCACTTCCTTGCGAAAACGGTCATGAAAGATGTCTGGAAGCACAAATTCTCATGGCCATTCCAGCAACCTGTCGACGCAAAGAAATTGAATCTTCCCGATTATCATAAAATCATAAAGCAAGCAATGGATTTGGGCACGATAAAGAAGCGATTGGAGAACAATTACTACTGGAGTTCAAAAGAGTGCATTCAAGATTTCAACACAATGTTCACAAATTGTTATGTGTACAATAAACCGGGTGAAGATGTTGTCGTTATGGCACAAACACTGGAAAAGGTATTCCTTACAAAGGTGGCACTGATGCCAAAGGACGAGATTGAAATCGAGAGTCGCACATCGAATAAGAACAAGAAGAAGACGACACCGCGTGCAAGCACCGGCGCCACACCATTGCCAAGCCCGATCGGACCGACTGTAGCGGCTGTCGGCATCAATCGTGGCCGACCTGCATCATCATTGGGCTCTGTGACAACATCAACCGCACCACCAAGTGTATTAGGTAAGTAGTAAGCTCACTTCTGCAGAGAAAATGTTCCGTTTCTTACTTTGAAAATAGTCAAACACATTTTCAAATAACAAATGCAATTTGTGCATTGATTAGGTCCAAATATACCACCAATTGGCACATTGCCACCGACAACGATACCAGGAAGCACGAACACGACAACAACCGCAATGATACCGCCGATTCAACAGCAATTCGCACAGCAGAAAGGTGCCGTTCCGCCAATGGGAGGTATTCCACTGAATGCACTTGCTGCACTCCAGCAACCACAATATCAAATGAACAAAACACCACAGCCGGGATTGGATTCAGTTATGCCACCGCAACAGCCCGCTAAAATGAAGAAAGGTGTGAAAAGAAAAGCCGATACAACAACGCCAGCCAACTCATTCGAAACGTCGTATTCTCTCACCGATCCTGCGAAAAGTGCAAAAGTCGCAACACGACGGGATTCGGGACGACAGGTAAGTGGAAATTGGCGATTATTTTCCATTTCATTTCGAATGCTATATGCACAAAGCTAAATGCGACAAAACGTGTGTGGTAAGAAGAAAATCTAACATATTTCTAACGATTTCAAACAGGAAATGGCACCTTATCCACCGAGCGCTTTCCCAATGTCACCGATGACGCCGCATCAAGCCGCTACACCCAAGAACAAGGGAAAATTATCGGACGCCTTAAAAGCATGTAATGAAATCCTAAAGGAATTGTTCTCAAAGAAGCATTCAGGATACGCATGGCCGTTCTATAAGCCGGTCGATGCTGAATTGCTGGGACTGCATGACTATCACGATATCATTAAGAAACCAATGGATCTGGGCACGGTGAAAAAGAAGATGGACGATCGCGAGTACAAGAGTGCGGCCGAATTTGCCGATGATGTTCGACTGATCTTCACAAATTGTTACAAGTACAATCCGCCCGATCATGATGTCGTTATGATGGGCCGAAAATTGCAAGATGTTTTCGAAATGCGATTTGCAAACATTCCCGACCGAGACTCGCCACCCCGCAACACATCGTATCAGCGTCAAACACACAAACAACTGAATTCATCGGACGATGATTCAAGTGACGAAGGTGTCGAATCGAATTCAGATGATGAGCGAACAATGAAAATTAAAACGCTGGAAGCGCAACTGTCATTGTTACAAAATGAAATTCAAAAATTGAAAGATGAACAATCGAACAAACGAAAGACGAAGAAAAAGGTTAAAGACAAAAAGAAACCAACGGCTTCGGTAAGCATGCCAATGATGTCAACCATGCCCATCAGTCACACACCAATCAGTCATAATGCGATCGCAGCCGCTGCCAAAGCACAAAATCCAATGGCAGCCATGCAAGCGATGGGAGTGAATCCAGCCGCAATAACGCCAGCAACAACAGCCAAAGGAGCTAAGCCGAAAGGACAGCGAGCTCCGAAAGCGAACGCGGGACAGGGTCCACCAGCCAAACGAGGAAAAGCCGCCGCTGGTGGTAAGAATTTGAAGATTTTCAAAATTATTTTGATTTTTTTTGTTTGTTCGATTGATTCGCATCATAACACATATTCCAATGCACATTTTCAGCGAATGCGCCGGCTGCTGCACGTGGTGCAAATAAGAAGAAACCAACAGTGCCGACAACCAACTTCGATTCGGAAGAAGAGGACACTGCTAAACCAATGTCATATGATGAGAAACGCCAACTGTCATTGGACATCAATAAACTACCGGGTGAATATCAATTGCCAATTTTCCATTTTAGTTGACACTTTGCTTTGATAGCCTTGGATTTTAATTTTTAATTTTTTATGTTTTTCTCCCCTGACTTTGTTTTTTCTCTGCAACTATTCTCATTTTGCAGGCGACAAACTTGGTCGAGTTGTTCATATCATACAGAATCGTGAGCCATCACTTCGTGATTCCAATCCCGATGAAATCGAAATTGATTTCGAAACCCTGAAACCGTCTACACTTCGTGAACTGGAGAGCTATGTTGCCACATGTCTTCGTAAAAAAACTCGTAAGACTTACTGTAAGTTCCCAATAGACACACACTGCTAAAACGGAAAAATAATGATGATGAAAAAAAAACAACAAGAGAAACAAATCGAAAACCGATCTAGAATGGAAAATAAAATCCACCATTTGATCGTGTAACCACTCATAAATAGAAATCACATAATTTACGCACACCTTAACACTTTATCGTACCTTTTTCGGAGCTAGACAAGTGACGTTTTCTTTTTTGTTTTTGTTTTATCCACCCAGTTTGCATAAAATATGCTTGCTACACAAAATTTACACTGTAAATACAACATATTGGCTTTTCCTCACCACGTCACCTGCCCACCTTCACTTGCACTCTATTCTCAAGCACTCAAAAGCAATTATTTTAGCTTAAAATTTCGATCAGGAAAGAAATTACCTGATATTGCTTGAACGTGTCCAAATGGATCACAAATTCAATTCTCTCTCAGGTTTGAAAATATCGGGGAGAGCAATTTGTGATTTGTTTGAAACGTTATACCTTTTACGAACCGTGCATTCGAAATTCTGTAAATAACCCGTTACGTCGTGTGTGCAAATGAGCGGCATGGTGCTTTTACTCTAGCTCTAGAATCTAACAAAAAGCCAACGTACGTGTACAGAAAATGGCGAATAAGTGATTTAAGCGATCAATCTAATAAAAGCAAAAAAAAAATTAGTAGTGTCTGTGTTAATTGGATGAACTGAGCATCAACCTATTTGATTTATTTTAATTTTTCTTTCTTTATTTGTATCTGTCGATTTCTTTTCCTATTTATTTTGTTTGTTGTCTTTGTAATTGTTTTATGAATGACTTTTTATGTGGAAAACAAATATTTTTCGTTTATTTCTGTTAAAATTTTACAACAAAAAATTCCATTGCATGTTTTAATCACTTTACGTTGCACCATATTTTTTGAGTTGTCACTTTTTCATTCCTTTTCGGCGATGATTTTTCCATCTAATGACTTGATACCTCAGATGTAGAACGAAAAAAAAATATTTGTTTTCATTTTCAAAGTGTTTCTATAAATTAAGACACCGTTATTCTATTCTATCGAACAAATGAAACTATCTGTTTGTTGTGGTCGCAACATTAGATTTGGTATTGATTTTGGTATAATTTTATTTCTTCTGGCCGATACAGATAAGAAGGTGTCTGGCAAATCAAAGGATGAGCAAATGGCTGAAAAGAAGCAAGAGCTTGAAAAGCGACTACAGGATGTGACTGGTCAATTGGGCTCAGCTAAAAAGGCTGCAAAGAAAGGTAAGTTTAAGTCAAATGTTTTGATTCATTGTGCAATTAAATTGAGATATCACCAAATTGTTCAATACAGAATCAATTATAGGCTTAAAAATCAATCAAACCCATTTTACACTGTTATCCTTATCCGTATCCATTTTACTCTTTCATTTTTTGACTCACAAACATCATTTGACCGCAATTTGTGTTCATTTTTTCTCTCCTCTCGTTTCAGTTGAGGATGCAGCTGCTGGCAAACTCGATGCAGTTGTACCACCTGCTGGTCATCTGTCATCAAGTTCAAGTTCAAGTGATTCATCGTCGTCTAGTTCCAGCGATAGTAGTTCAAGCGATTCGAGTGACAGTGAAGCAGGTTAGGAATTAAACTAAATTTTGTTTTGTATTTACAAAACAAACAGAAACGATATGAAATATTCAAAATGTTTGCAGAAAAAAAAAGATTAGTTGATTCATTTGATTTACGATAGAAATGTGTTTAGCATCTCATCAGATAAATGTTTGATTATGTAATAAAACTAAATTCTTTTTAAAACAAAACAAACAAAAAATATACCGAATCAAACGAATACAATCTGTGGGATTGAAAGTGGATCGAAATTGAATCGATTCGCTTTCATTTCCGGATGGAAGCCATCGAAAATGTAGCGAGAATATGAACAGTGCCTAATAGGCGTTCGAAATCTATTTTCCCACATCGATTCCAACATTTCAAATAAAACTGTAGAAAAAGAAATGAATTACACCGAAAAGAAACCAATAGCCGATGAATGCGTGTCAATACTGTATTCTTCTTGCTCTATTCCCAATTGTACATATGATTCGATCAAATAGAATCCCAATCGTTTTATTTTTTAACGCTTTTTTTATACATTTTCTGATGTATTTATTTGATTTTGGATTCGCCAAGTGAATCCGAACATCATTCCTCTTTCAGAGGAAGTAAAAGACATTTAATTTTATTTAAATTGTTCTAAAGCTAAAACACGGCATTCATCGTATTCGTGAAGAGAAAAAAAAATAAACGTTTCATTTTATCACCTCTTTCTTCTTTATTTATCGGCTTGAGCAAAATAAACCATTTCTCTTTCGCTAATTTTCTTCAACGATTTATACGATAGCAAAAAGAATAGAGAAATTTGTTTAATTTTATAATGTAATCAATAATTGTTCTCGATTAGATGTAGAATATTTGAAAATCGGGTCACGAATGCCATAAAAGAGAAAAACAAAATGTTTATTGTGGCCGATGCAACTAAATCTAAATGTGAGCTTGAATCGTACAAAACACATCGATTTCGATTTTGGATTTTTGCGATAAATTTTGTAAAAATTCTTCTCGGAAATGTGCCATAAGTCATTCTAATCATTTCCAATGGCTCACACACTCACAACAAAAAATGAAAACACATAAAACAAGCAAAAAAAAAAAAATTTCGATGCAATATCCCTCAAATCGCAATTAATCTTTTCTAATAATTTAGGCGTTGCATTTAAAGCGAAACACTGTGTTCTTGGCAATTTTTTCGTCGACCCGATTCACTGTATATACCCAAAAAATATGGCTACAGATAGAAACAAAAAGAAAACACACGAATCATAAAGTACGTATTTGTTTGGTTTATGTACGTTTTAAGCAGGTGAACATGGTTTCGGCTTACAGTCTTTGTTTTTTTTTATTACGAAAATAAGCTTCCTTGAACTTATCCAACAAAGAACAACATCTGATTCTTTGCTTTGATTCGTTCAACCCCAAACAAAATGAAACAAAAAGAAAATCATTGTATTCTGTGCGATTCCATTAGTTTGTGAATCAAATGAAATCACTTGTTTTTTATAAAAAAGAAGAAAATTGTACAAAAAAAATCAAAGAAATATAGGTTTATGGTATCTTCTGGTAATGAAAAGTAAATGTGTGCATGGGGGCAGCCAACACGACATCCATTCAATTTGCTTTATTTATTTCTTAATCTCGATCTGAATGAAGAAAGGCCTGAATTTTGTTGTTGCAATCTAAATCAAGTTTTCCCAACGTTCGACATATCTTTATTTTCCCTTCTTATTCTCTTTTGAATTCAACTGGACACCATCAACAAACCAAGTTAAAGCCACTAAAACAAACGGAAACAATTTCACAACCATTTTTATTCAAGTTGTTGATAGAAGAAAAAAAAAAACACAACAGTTCGCGTGACCTGAATACAGTCAATTTGTTTAATTTTTGGTTTTGTTATGTGATAAATAGCAATTATAGACAGACACAAATAATGATCTTCCCCATTCATTTGAACGATTGAATATTTTAATAGAGATGTTCGAATATTCATCGATGTGAATTTAAATGATTATATCGTATTACATTTCATAATCGTGGAAAATTCGCCTAATTAAAAATTGCCATCTAACACCAATTAAAAAACAAACAAACGAACAAAAAAAAATGACAGTTATTATGTGTAATCCACCTGAAAACCACTGACGAGCTCGCGTGCTCGCAATCAAATGCGCCATTGGATAGTGCCAAAAGAGCCGATGGAACATTCAATTTGTAGGATCTTCAATCATTCAAGTGAACATTTAGTTTAACTAGAAGAAGAAAAAAAAACATCAACTGCTTAATTAAACAAACGAAAACTAGCGAAATTCAAAGACACAAGTGCAATGCGCGTGGAACATTAACACAACATCGATTACTCAAAATTTACAACCCGAAAACTCTCTCGAAACACTTTGGAACACACATACACAAGCTAAAGCCGTATTATACCGCCTTTGAATAGACACATTTTGGAGCGCCAAGGAAATGTCCAAGTCTGTGGTATTATTTACACGCATAGTTAAAGTATAACCAATCTTTTTCTTTAGGATTATGATCATAGTTGAGTTCATTTTTCTATCAATTTTGTTGTTGTTGTTCATCATAGTATTTTAACCTACTCGCAAAAAAAAAAACAAAAACAAATGAAACAAAAATTGCAGACAATGTGTAAAAACGAAACGGAGAAACTGGAGCACACAACGAGCTATTAAAATTGCTACCAATTATTTCTATTTCTCGTGTGTTGATCTCATCATAACACACCACACTCAAGTTCGGCATATTGTATGCAAGAATAGCACAAAAACCGAAACGAAAATTGCTCTCGCACATTCAAAATTGCATGCATAACTTCCGGTTTGTGCCCATGACGCGTGCCAAACAGTATTCGTCACTGCGCGCGGGACTGCATCACTGTTTTCGGTTAGTTTACTATCTCAAAGATTCTAAACTCGTAGCAAATAGACATGAGAATGCAAACACACACACACAGATCAGCTCAGTTTTGGTGATTCTACCTTTTGGAATTCAAGCGATAATGATCAAGTAATACGATATAAAGTTTGTAGATGATTTGTTGAATTGAAAAAAAGAAGAAAAAACAATTTGAAAAACAGAAAACCAATTCCAATTCCATCGGCAAATTCCACTCATTGACCGAGAATCGATCGAGTCGGCCCGGTCACATTGACTATTTTTGACTTAAACGTGGATCAATACATTGCATGCGCAATAACAGAAAACAGGACTTGAGCTATTCTAATTGAACCGTTTTTTTAGTGACGCCACAATCCGAATGCAAGGTGTGCGTCAAATCATGATTTTGAAAATTCATGGTGTGAATTGCTAGCTAGCAATTTCAAATCAAATTGAAACCGGACAAAGTAACAAAAGCAAATTTTAAGGCGCGGCTGTCGGCTTTCCCCTTTACACATTGTTTGCACAAGAAAAAGAAAAAAAACATTCACTAGGACATTCAATCGAACCAGGACAAAATATTTCTTTCTTTTTTCAAATAATAGCATTTACATTGCGATTCAGCAATTAGATAAAACAAACGAAAATTGCCTACATCGATACGAATGATTATCCGATGCACGAAAGTATATTCGCATTTGAATTTGCAAAAATAGCCTAAATCAGGAGACAACACATACAAACAAACAATTAATAAAAGAAAAATTACACGAATCACAAATGCGAGCACATTATTGTTCATTTTAATCAAATTAGTAGACAAAACAACATTTAATTTTAAGCCTATTTTATAGCAAATCAAAAACAAAAATAATAAAAAAAACACACACACACACATTTTTAAATAGTTACAATTTCACTCACAATCAACAATTGAAACAACAACAACAAAAAATCAATACACATGCTATGGAATAATTAACGAAAAGAAAATAGACGTAATGAAGCAAAAAATAAGTTGTGTTTAAATAAAAAGAAAATCCAGCAGATGGTAAACAAAGCGTAGATACTACAGTCAAATGTATTACAATGATCGATAAGAATCACGTTAGCGTTTTTTTTAATTATTATTTTATTTGTATCTCGTGTAAATTTCTTCTTTGTTTATTTCTTATTTCTCTTCTTTAACGTAAAAACTAATTTAGGGTTAAAATGAAGAAAAAAGAATCGCAAATGGTAAAAAGAGAGAGAGAGAGAGAAAGGGAGAATAGATCTAACGAAAATTCATTTTGTTCTGTCCATTTGTTTTATGTTCGATGTTTGAAAATATTGGTCAGTTTTAAAAGGATATGAAGAAAATGAATTAAAAACAATACACATATTCATTTTGGAACAAACGTATGAACAAGAAATGAAATGCGTCAAAAAAACACGATCCATTATTTAGTTTGTGCAGATAGAAAATCGTTTAGACGTCATTTACGGTTGATTATGGTCGCTGCGGTGGTTTTTGTGTGTATACTCACAACGGTGTCTATATTTTATATGTTTCAATGTAACAAGAATAACGGTCATCATTTTGGCATCATGTAAATCTCGAATTGTTGACCGAGTCTCTATTAAACCGTGAGTTAAATACGTTAGTAAGCCACTGCTGAGATCATGACATCAATTGTTAGTATTTAATTGTCATAAATATGATACAATAAATTGAAATATGTATGTATTTATATGTATTATTAATATTTCGATAACGTTTTGTAGTGTGTCCGATACAGAGAAAAAAAACTAAAGAAATTTCACGAAAATTACAACAATAAAAAAAACCACAAAAAAATATTATTATGCGGAAAAAAATAGAAAGATTGACATTAAAAAAATGCGAAAATTATTCGTCTAAAATTAAGAAACAAACAAACAAACAAACACACACACACACATACATGCATGAGGAACAATGAGAGCAGATTAAAATATTTACATTAGAAATTTTTCCGTTTGTTCTAGTTGTGTAAGCTTAAGTGCGCAAAATTTTCATTATGGACCGACAACAACAAAATATGCAAACTTCTCAAAGCCTCCAAATGAAATTTGTTTGATTTTTAGTTTAAGTGGACAGAAAACAAAAATCTAATATCGAATAAAGCGAAAACTTTATGACAAATTGATTTACATTCACCTTTTGAATTGACTGATCACAAAAACCACACACACATTCGTTTTTACTTTCATTTTGGCATGAGATAAATTGTTAGATTTACCTCAGCACCTCAAAAAAGATTGCATTGACACACAACAACAACAATTACAAAAACTTATATAAACATGGAATAGAAATAAAAGCAAATATCAAAATAAAAATTTGACGAAGAAATGACCAATAAAATATGGCTTTTTGATTTATGGCGTTGGTATCAAGATTGCAACATTGTCAACATCTCAGGCTCTTTCTTCTTTCTTCTTCCTTCTCTTTATTATGTTTTGTTTTCCGTTTTGGGGTTTTGTTTTGCAAAAAGAAGGAGAAAATACATGAAATGTATGGATGGATATGCTTGGTTGCCCACACAGAAAGAGAGAGAATGACACATACACACATTTACAGTTCGATTTAGTGAAGATCATATCGTGTAGCTATGATGAAAATTTCACATGAAAACTTGATTTGATCTGATGTAGGTTCGACGACGAGGACACCGCGAAAGAAGAAACCGAAAGATTCGCCATCACCTGCAAATCGACCGGTAAGTTGGAGTTTTTAGCTCTGATTTGTTTCCTCTTTTCGCTAGAAGTCATTCTGCGAAGATTGAAACCATGCGAACAATGATACAATTTACCAAACAAATGATGTATTTGCAGGGCCCTTTACCCAATCTGCCATCAGCGAACAAACTCACATTACTGAATACACCAAATCTGTCGAATGCTCCTGGATTCGCAACGGTAATTTGATTTTCGGTTTCTTTTTTTTACATAAATAGTCAAGTCAAGTCATGACGAGTTTCTCTCTATGAATGGTCGAAACATCTTATTCGTTTCATTGACATATCGCGAGTTACGTTGTTAAATTTAAAACGAAACGTTCTTCATTGTACTCTATTTCAAATCATTTAAACAAACAATTTTCTCGAATACAGTCAACACCACAACCGCCACCAAATCAAGTGCAACATACTCAATCAGCGTTACCACCAATGCCATCATTAGTAAATAGTCTGCTGCCCCAACCACAGCAACAACCGCAACCGCAACCGCAGCTGTCGCAACAACCAGCCCAAACGCTGAAAACGTCACTGTCGCAACCGCCACAAAATATGGTGCAAAATCAGAACACATTGAATAATAATGACATGAACCAGGCGTTCTCCACACAACCAATGAATCCCAATATGAATCTTAGCAATATGCTAGGTATCTATCAAACAGTGTCCAATAATTTTTTACTAGGCATTTGCTTATGAATATGATTTCTAACTGATTTTAGACAACAAAAACCACGGATTGCCATCTTTAAATCCAATGATGCCACCAATGAATTCGATGAGCGATAAATCGGTCTTGAATATGCTGCCAAATTTCGATGATCCAGTCGAACAATCGTTGGCCTCCCTTGAACAAACGTTAGGATGTAAGTTTTCAAATTTGTCATCGAACGAATTGAAATGGAATTTATTGATTGAAAATGTCTCAAATTCAAATGTTTTCAGGTTTTGATAATCCACATAACAATGGCTTCAACTTGGATTCAACGCTAAATAATTTGAATGGAATGACCAACGTTCCGTCATCCGTATCAAATAACAGTATGATGATGGGATTGCCATCGTTATCACAATCGAACACCTTGCCACCGGTTACATCGGATTCAATATCAACATCGTCGGACCAACGTGGTATATATGATTCCTTTTTTCATACAGTTTCCAAACTGATCGTTTATAACACGCGCCTAATTTAAATCGATCAATTGTTTAGGTTTTATGCCAGGTTTGACAACATCATCCGGAAATATGCCACCGCTCCAAATGAACAATTCTGTGAATGCAACAGCACCAATCAACAGCAATAATAGTAATAATAGTATGAATAGCTCAATGCAATCGACTGGCAACGGAGTGACAACACCAAATTTAGGTGTGGGTGCATTCCGGCCGAAGCCCATCGAAGAGCTGTTGATGCCCCAACATGACAAGAAAAGTACTCCACCACCAGCGTTACCACCGCAAATGCCGATGAGTGATCAAAAACCGAATTTGGCAAATGCATTTAACAAGAGCATGGATCCAGCCATAAAAAATACAATCGCAAGGTGGGTATTCAAACATTATCCGAGATGTTGCACGAATGCATTTTATAACCATGCACATATGAATCTTATTGTCTTTAGCTCATGGTCATCGCTAGCGGCAGCTGGTTCACCACAAAGCACACCGACATCCAGTAAGCCGAAACCCACGCCGGTCATGGATTCATTCCAGCAGTTCAAAAACAGAGCCAAAGAGAAAGCCGATCGACAAAAGCTACTTGAGCAACAAGAGATGAAACAACGCAGTCACAAAGAGGCCGCTGAGAAGCGACAACAAGAGCAACAGAAGAAGAGAGAAGAAATTGACCGGTAAGATGAAATGGACTAGTCATTCCAAAGAAGAAGAAAAAAACATTTATTTACTGGAAAATTTTCTCATTCAGGAGGCAACCGTTGGATCAGATACTGGGGCGTGATGATTTGAAAGCATCGCCACAGGGAAGTGGTTCACCAGGAACGCCGTCGGCTAATGATCGGGCAGCTGCAAAACGAGCCGAGCTAAGGCGACAGGAACAAGAGCGTCGACGACGAGAGGCGGTTAGTAGATTATTTTTCAACATTCTTATACCGATACATGCACTTGGATCGGACCATTTCAATTGTGAAATTTAAAATTAAATCGTATCTATTTCATTTTGTGTTGACAGTTGGCGGGTCAAATTGACATGAACATGCAAAGCGAAATGATGGCAGCTTTCGAAGAGTCGTTAGAGCGTGGTGGTCGATAAAAACCGATTGGGATTGCATAAATTGAAGGTGAACAGCAAGAGTCAGTTTGCTTTCGTTTCAAATGGACACCAGATAAAACCCACGAAACACCGAGTTTGATTTAGATTTTATGGAATTTATTATAATGAGATGAACATATTAATCAACCAACTGTATATGTACAGATAAGGATACATAGGAAAATAAGTATAAATGGATTAGAAAGAAAGAAAGAAAAACCAGTCGAAACAACGGTTTTCAGTTTCAAATTTAGTTTGAAAGTAATGAACACATGTTAAGAATATAAACTAAATTCAAAAGCAAATGTCTCTTATTCATATTCTGTCTACAAAATAGTAAAAAAAGAAACCGCATAATGATAAGCATTAAACATTTCTACCCAATCATTTCAACCCATTTTACTCATTCGTACGCAGATGTTTGCAACAACCAACTCCGTTTTGTTGCATCATTTGTTATTTCTCTTTGGTTTGATTTCGGTCACAACTTTTGTTTCTAGCACAGAAATTGTTACAAGAAACCAGCATAGATCTTACGTCTATTTGAAACTGATTAAATTCATGAATAATGCATAAAAATGTAGCGTGTTGCTAACGAAGTGAAAAGAAAGAAAAATTTAAAGAAGAATTTAAATGCTACAAAGGAAATGTAAGCGTATATGACAAAATAAACTCACATAATAATATTTGTAGATTATTCTTCAGTATTTTATGATTAATTATTCGTTTTTTATTCAATAAAAAGAATTGAATATGAATGTAACGAATGATTAACTAAACCAATTTTTAAATTAGACAAATAAACGGATATGAAACAGAAAATTAATTTTCCTTCTTACTATTTAGTTCATTCTTTATTTTGTATTTTAATGTGTACAAAATTCAAAGTTAAGAGCTTGTTTTTGTTTTTTTTTATTCTTTCAAACATTCGATTTGTTATTTATTATCGTTATTAATTTTCTTTAATCTTATCGAATAGATTTAAATTCAAACTTTTTTTTAATTCTGCAATCGTTCGAATATGATTACAAAAAAAAACGGTTCTTTCTTCTTTTACATATATATAATTAATGGTATTCGCCTTGTTTTGTTTTTCTTTATTCTCTTAAATCTTAACAATATTGCGGGTAAAAACGAAATTAAATAACAAACGATGAGGCGATCGCGTTGAAGAGAGAAAAGGAGAAAAAAGAAAAGAAAAAGAGCTATGAAATGTACAACTCATTAAATTATTACGGACGAAAATAAGACTACTAGAGAAAAGGACTGGCTGCTATCGATTTCGGTTGTGTGTTTATTTGTGAGAAAAAAAGCGTAAAGAAAAAGTAGAAATATAGAGGGGTGTATTACAGTAAAGATTCCATGATTTTTGGTCTTCCACACAATATGTAAGTTTGTTGTTTGTTTGAGTGTTGTTATTGACGTCGTCTTAACACTTTGACGATTCTTCACACTTTTTACCTATTTCTGTTATATGGGGACTCCAGGGCCCCATATGTACTTCATATGAAATCTGGACTGTGATAAGAGATAACAAAATAGTGTCTGAGGCAAAGTTGTAGTACTCAAGGTTTGCTTTAATTTTGCTGCAACAAATATTGCTTATCTCTTATCAGTTCCGCGAAAAAGCGCGAAAAACCGCGAAAATCGCGAAATTTTCCCACCTTATTTTTAGTGATGCTGATAAGAAGTAAGAGACTTGCTTCTTCGGCAGAAATGTAGAGCAGGTCGAATATTACAACTTTGCCACAGACACCAAGTCGTTATCTCTTATCAGTTACGCGGAAAAATGATAAGAAAAAATTCGCGTCACTGATCAGAGATAACGACTTGATGTCTATGGCGAAGTTGTAGTACTCAAGCTGCTCTACAACTTTGCAGAAAACCATCTTGTTATCTCTTATCAGTTTCGCGGAATACGCGAGGAACCGCTGAAAACCGCGAAAAAACGCGTTTTTTCTTATCATTTTTCACGGAACTGATAAGAGATAACGAGATGGTGTCTATGGCAAAGTTGCCACAGACCCCAAGTCGTTATCTCTTATTACTTACGCGAAAAGCCGCGAAAACCGTGAAAAACGCGATTTTTTTCATCTTTCGCGTAACTGATAAAAGATAACGACTTAGTGTCTGTAGTAAAGTTGTAGTACTCAACTAAAGCTACACCTAAGTCATAGACACTATCTCGTTATCTCTTATCAGTTTCTTGAAAAATGAGAAACTATGAATTCGCGTTTTTCACGTTTTCGTGGCTTTTCGCGTAACTGATAAGAGATAACGACTTGATGTCTACGGCGAATCTGTAGTACATAAACTAGTCTACAACACTGCTACAGACACCAAGTCGATATCTCTTATCATAGTCCAGTTATAATATAAAATAGCCATGGGGCTCTGTGGATCCCAAAGAACAACAGCGTAACATGTTTTTCGGAAGGCTGTATTTTACACATACTCACACATATGCATATGTGTATATGTCATTCGTGTAGAGAAATGTTCAATCTATACAATGAGACTTAACTCCGGTTTATACACTGTTTAGTACTTTTATTCACCTTTAAAATTCGCTTGGGGCCCTGGATTCCCCAAAAACCGTCATAGTGTTAAGAATATCATCGAAATTATCGGTAGCAAACACGAGTGAAACAGTGAACAACATTTTTAAAGCTGTGTTTTTTCTTCTTCTTCTTCTTCTTCTTTTTCCTCCTCCTTCTTCGCGTTCTTCTCCATCTACTGCTCCTATTTCATGGTCTTCGGTAGCGGCTTCTGTGTTTCTGAGATGCTAGGAAGAAAAACAAAAAGTAATTAGATTTTTTTGAGACTTGAAATCGAATCAAACGAATATGGTTTTATCTGTCAAACCGAAGCTCATGGTCGTAATTTGCGCATTTTGATGAGAAATTTGTCTTTTATGTCTGAATCAATTTGCGAATAGGTTAAAATACTATGATGAACAACAAAAACAAAATTGACTTACACGTAAATGATGATATAGTAGTCTACACACAATGGAGCCAAACAAACACTAAACGCCATCACGACCGCAAAACCATACACAAACTCCCATCTTAAAAACCCAAATTAACCAAACAAAGCAACTATGATGGAAGCTGCGGTCGCAATCAAAAAAGTAATGATTTTTTGACGCCTTTCCAATTTTTTTTCTTCAAACGATTTTGCGGTTTTTTCATGAAAATGTGATCGATCTAATGTAATGGTTTAGATTGTCAAATAAATGTAAACGTCAAAAACAATCAACGCACATGTTACATTACATGTGATAACAACTATAATGAATTAGTGCTGCTACACCGTGCAACACATGTTTCTGCACATGAGAAATTCCGATTGCTTGTTTTAGAGGACCAAAAACCAAGCACTTTTGCATCATTAGTTTGTTCGAAACCACGTCTAGATTTTTTTTTATCGACAATATAAGACAAATTTCAGGTCAAAATGAGCAAATCACAAACATAAGCATCGATTTGACAGGTAAAGGCAAATGATTTCTACCTTTTCTGCCTTTGAACAACTAGTATGATCCTTTACAAACATTTTGGGTACTTACATGACCAAATCGAGTGATGTTTTCACATATTTCTGGCCGCATATTTGGTTGGTTCGAATTCAACTCTGAAAGAATCGACTTTTGGCCAAAAATCCTTAAATATAGGCTTTTTAGGGATAGTATCTTAGCGCAAAGTTATTTTTTCTCGAAAATATGGGGAGTCTACCCAGACCAAATCTCTCAAAATTGACTTTTCGAGGTACCTTCTGAACAAAAGTTACGTTTTTAATGCATTTTGCTATGAAAATATCATTTTTTGTTCGGGAGGTACCCCAAAAATCATTTATAAGAGATTCTGTGTGGGAAGATTCCCAATATTTCTCGAAAAAATTAATTTTTTACTAAGAAACTCATCCAAATAGTGTATTTTTGGGGTACCTCCCGAACAAAAAATGTTATTTTCATAGCAAAATGCATGAAAAACGTAACTTTTGTTCGGGAGGTACCTCGAAAAGTCAATTTTGAGAGTTTTTGTCTGGGTAGACTTCCCATATTTTCGAGAAAAAATAACTTTGCGCCAAGAGACCATCCCTGAAAAGCCTATACTTAAGGATTTTTGGCCAAAAGTCGATTCTTTCAGAGTCGAATTCGAACCAACCAAATATGCGGCCAGAAATATGTGAAAACATCACTCGATTTGGTCATGTAAGTATCCAAAATGTTTGTAAAGGATCATACTAGATGTTGAAAGGCAGAAAATTTAGAAATTATTTGCTTTTACCTGTCAAACCGAAGCTCATGTTTGTGATTTGCTCATTTTGGCCTGAAATTTGTCTTATATGTGTCGATAAAAAAAAGTCTAGACGTGGTTTCGAACAAACTAATGATGCAAAAGTGCTTGGTTTTTGGTCCTCTAAAACAAGCAATCGGAATTTCTCATGTGCAGAAGAAAAAGTTGAAATTTGTTACACGGTGCTATCTATTTCTTTATCCGTTTGCGAAACTAAACCAATGATTAGGTCAATTACATTGGAATTTAGAAAAATCACAAAATCGTTCGGAAAAAAAAACAAAGCATAATTTTTTATTTTATTTTTTATTGAGTATGAGGTGTAAATAACAGGAAAAATACCCTTTACAATTTATCACCTATAGTTTGTTTCTACAATTTTGATAGTTACTTTGGTCAAAGCATTTAAACATTTCAGTTAAAATAAAAAGAAAATTATTGAATTCTCGAAAATGAATGAGAAAGAAAAAATTAAATTTAAAATTTCATCAAGACTAAAATTGGACAGAAAATAGCTGGTTGGATGGAACGTAGTTGTATTTATTCGAATTCAATTGGCATAGAAAACATGGGTTGATCTCACCATAAAAACAAATTTGATCAAAGAATTACGAAGACTTCCTTTAAATATATTGAAATTTTTGACGAAATTTCATGTCGTGACATTCATTTTATCGCCTAAAGTTGGAATAAAAACAAAATCAATCGTGGACAAATATCATCGGTATTCCATTCGAATAGTTTTTTATTTTATTTTTTACCTCTCATTTAATCGAGATCCACAGGCAATATCATGTACAATTCATGGATTATTTTAATGGTCCGTTCCTAGGTCCGTTCTTTCCCAAATGGTTCGTTGTAAAAGTCAAATGGTCCGCTCTAAATCGGAAAATTGTCCGTAAGTCTTCATTAGTTTGATCATGTTTTGACTTTTTCTTGAGCAATTTTTCGAAATTTTTTCTTTCAGAATGACTGAATTTAAACCATTTTTTCCGAACACTTTATTTCCCATATAAATGTTTTAATTTTTCGAACACTTGGTAGAGAACGAGTTAAATTTCGACATATTGGTAGACAGCGAAAAAGCAAACATATTTTGCTGATTATTGCAAATTATTGCAATATGTAATCAGCTATCATCGAGTTGATCTCGCCATTAAAATAAATTTGACCAAGAAAATTTTGAAATAAAATAATCACGAAGACTTCTTTTTAAATATATTAAAACTTTTGACGAAATTTCATCTTGTAACATTCATTTTATTGCCGAAAATTAGAATAAAAACAAAATCGTGGAAATATCGCATATCCCATTTGAATAGTTTTTTATTTTATCGTTTCATCAAGATCAAGTGGAATGAAATAAATGGATATTAACCAAATAAACATGCCTTTTCATCAATAAAGAGCTTTATTTTTAATTTGACAATAGAATGACGTCTTCGTATGAACTTAGCGGTCAGTCGATGTGGTCAATCAAATAGAATACGAGCTGAAACCTGTTAAAGGGTGATTAATCAAATCGATTAATCGTTAATAAATTTACGAGAAAAATCAACATATTTTTTACCAATGAATAATGCTTTTTTATGTTACGTATATACTATCATCTTAAACGTACAATTTTGGACCATAAAAGACCCTACTGAGCATTGCCTAGCTGTTATATTGATATTTGAATACAAAAAAATTCCCATATTTCCTATAAATTTCATATTCCTTCGAATGTTTTTTATTCATTTGGCACAAAGGCCGGACAAGTACCAAGCACATTAAAATATATTTATCTCGTGATTTTAGAGCCAACAAGTATATCCAGAACTGGCTTTTGTCTTCAAGACTTTGAAACATTGGACAAAATTTAAACCAAGATTTTAAATTTAAAGAAGTTAAAATATTACGCGTAAGTAGAATTTTTTACGAGCTTTCCGAACAGTATAGCGGTTTGTAACCAAAAGCTGGTTTTTGTCCTGTTTTTGCCCCAAAAAAGTGATTTTTTGTGGTTTTTCGGTTTTTGGAGCCCTTTGAAGGCAGAAGTGACCCCAACTATCAGTATTTTTTTATTCGTTGAAGTCTGAAGAGCATTTTATCTGAACACATCAGCATCGTCAGACCACCTATTTGGTGTGAAAAAAAAGTTATGTAGTCGAAATACCATGAAAAAAATGGTGAATGGTGACCACACCGAATTTTTTCTGAAAAAATATGAGGTGGCGGATAGTTAGGGAATATCGTGAAACTCAAGAATAGTGTGGGCCAACTTTTAAGCCAAAAAAATCGAAAAAAAATTCCACGTCAAAATGGGTTTTTGCCATTTTTATATTTTGAACCCACTTTTCAGCGAAATCGGAGAGGTGAAATCAGAATTTTGTTAAACTTGGTGTGGAATCCTCGTAAATTTCTGTTTAATTCTTTAACACTATGACTGTTCTTCATATTTGCAACATATTACTGTTCTTGGGGGACTCCAGGGCCCCCAAGATATTTCATATGAAATCTGGACTGTGATAAGAGATAACAAATTAGTGTCTGAAGCAAAGTTGTAATACTCAAAGTTTGCTATAATTTTGGTGCAACAAATATTGCTTATCTCTTAACAGTTCCGCGAAAAACGCGAAAAAACGCGAAAATCGCAAAATTTTCCGACATCGTTTTAGTGAAGCTGATAAGAAGTAAGAGACTTGCCTCTTCGACAGAAATGTAGAGCAGGTCGAATACTACAACTTTGCCACAGACACCAAGTCGTTATCTCTTATCAGTTATGCGAAAAAATGATAAGAAAAAATTCGCGGTTTTCGCGGTTTCCGCGTAACTGATAAGAGATAACGACTTGATGTCTATGGCGAAGTTGTTGTACTCAAGCTGCTCTACAACTTTGCCGAAAACCATCTGGTTATCTCTTATCAGTTTCGCGGAATACGCGAGAAACCGCTGAAAAACGCGAAAAAAACGCGTTTTTTTCTTATCATTTTTCACGGAACTGATAAGAGATAACGAGATGGTGTCTATCGCAAAGTTATAGCTCTGGTCGAGTACTATGATTTGCCACAGACCTTAAGTCGTTATCTCGTATCAGTTACGCGAAAAAATGATAAGAAAACATTCGCGTTTTTCACGGTTTTCTGCGGTTTCTCGCGTATTCCTCGAAACTGATAAGAGATAACGAGATGGTGTCTTTACCAAAGTTGTAAAGCAGCTTAAGTGCTACAACTTCGCTATAGACTCCAAGTCGTTATCTCTTATCAGTTACGCGAAAAGCCGCGAAAACCGTGAAAAACGCGATTTTTTTCTTATAATTTTTTCGCGTAACTGATAAGAGATAACGACTTGGTGTCGTAATAAAGTTGTAGTACTCGACCAGAGCTACAACTTTGCCATAGACACCACCTCGTTATCTCTTATCAGTTCCTTGAAAAGTGAGAAACTATGAATTCGCGTTTTTCACGTTTTCGCGGCTTTTCGCGTAACTGATAAGAGATAACGACTTGATGTCTACGGCGAAGTTGTAGAGCAGCTTGAGTACTACAACTTCGTCATAGACACCAAGTCGATATCCCTTATCATAGTCCAGCTATAATATAAAATAGCCATGGGGCCCTGTGGTCCCCCAAGAACAACAGCGTAACATGTTTTGCGGCAGGCTGTATTTTACACATACTCACACATATGCATATGTTTTTTTTTCATTCGTGTAGAGAAATGTTCAATCTATACAATGAGACTTAACTCCGGTTGGTTTATACACTGTTTAGTACTTTTATTCAACTTTAAAGTTCGCTGGGGGCCCTGGGTGCCCCAAGAACAATCATAGTGTTAATAACCGTTTTCATTTGTTCTAATTACTTTTGAAGAACAATATACGAAAAATAAAAGTTCTTAGCCTGCGCACAAAATAGACTTTTTTAACAGTAACACATTATAATGTGTTTGGTAGCCAAAATTGATTTTGAACCAATAAAGTATACTGGATGTAGTTTTTTTGAGTCTATGTGTTCTGGAGAGTTGTTTAATTTTTTATGGCTGCAATTTTTGTTTATTGGACCGATACTACAACTTTGCTGAAGATAGATAGCTGCTATCATCCATATTAGACGAGTTATTGACCAAAAACTGAAGAGGTCAACTTTGAAAATTCCCCTGAATCACATAAACCACCTAGGTCGATAAAATGAAAACCCCTACTAAACTTTCAAAACCCAATTGGGGTTTTATTAGCTATGGTAGTACTAACACCTCTGATATGCCAAGTCTTGGTCGTCTGACCTGTGTTGCACTGTGTTATTAGTGATATCAAAAGAAGATATCGTAATGCGCCATCTGTTCGGTTTGAACATGAAAACAAACAAATTGATCCATACAGAGTTATAATACAACAACATCTCTATGTAGAGGAAACGCTGTAGTTTGTTTTGTTCGGCATATTTTTTATACACTGCCTTTATTCCCACCGATTCATATATCGGTTGGCAGCTGGAGTCACTTTGTTTGTTTTCATGTTCGCGTTAGGGAGGGCAATAAATGCTTTTGCACTAAAGGTATGCTCGAAAATATACATTTCATTGAGAGACATTTTCTTTTCACTTACAGAAAAAAGCAAAGAGAACTCAGTACGACGAAAGTCCAACGACACAGTCTTTAACATTGTCCATACTTTCTACATGTTTTATAACATTGACTTTTACATTGTCGTTCATTGACAATAATTATTCAGATATGAATAATTTTGACACATATGTATTTTACTTGCCAGTATGCCACATATTATTAATGCATGGTTTGTGACTTGGAATTCTTATTAAATACATCAAATGTAAATGACGTTTTCATTACAGAATCCAATCGTTCAATTAGCACCCATAAACTTATGAAATATGGACTGGAACGATCGGCGGTTTTTTCCCTGATATGTGGCGTTTGTTTGGTCTGGCACCGCTTATCGGCCATGATACTCTTACTATTATGGGGAGGAGATGATCAACTTATATATGCGAACTGCATATTATTCTGGATTTTCTGCTTATCAATAGGTAACGACTGGAATATTCTCAATAAACATAGATTAACTAAATTTTTATGTTACAAAGGTCGCCAGTGGTTTTTGGACATCGAAATTAATCCACAGAAGTATAAAAAATACTTCAGAACTGAACGAAATCGTCGTGCTGTTTCTAAACAAAGGGATGGTTCCTTAAACTTTGCAAAAATTGGACAGAAAATAGCTGGTTGGATGAGACGTAGTTGTATTTGTTCGAATCAATTAACAAATATTTCCAAGAATAATGAGATCGATTTGAAGCAATTGGCATAGGAAAAATGGGTTGATCTCGCCATAAAAACAAATTTGACCAGGAAAATTTTGAAATAAAAGAATCACGAAGACTTCTTTTTAAATACATTAAAACTTTTACATCTCGTAATATTCATTTCATCGCCTAAAATTGGAATAAAAACAAAACCAATCGTATACATTTTGAAAAGTTTTTCATTTTATTTTTTACCTCTCGTTTCATCGAGATCCACAGGCAATAACATGTACTAGTATATGCAAATGGAAATCGAGTTTTTAGTGTTTTGAATGAAATAAATGGATATTATCCAAATAAACATGCCTTTCCATCATTAAAGAACTTTATTTTTAATTTGACAATAGAATGACGTCTTCGTATTTAAATGAACTTAGCGGTCAATCAAATAGCATACGCTATTAAAGTGTGATTAATCAAATCGATTAGTCGTCAATAAATCTTCAATTAGAAAAATCAAAATTTTCATTGCCAATAAATAACGCTTTTTTATGATACGTATACACTTCACTGTAATACGTTTTATTTCTTCTGTCAATAAAATCGCTTGTAGTTTTAAATCGTTTTCTCAACGGTTAGATGCAAGTTTACGTCACGCTGCATTGTTTTAAATATTTCGCACACAAAACTGTCACCTGTCACTTTAACAACGATAACAAAGCGAAGTGGTTCCATTTAAACACGTGCAATAAGTTAATCCAATGGTTTGAGAGACATCATGGTAAAGGCACTTTCAACGGGAAACGGGGCTTGGGCGGTGAAAATCTTGGCATTGAAAAAAGGAAATGAGCGATCAGCCGGTGAAAAACCACGCGACCGGACAGTTGAAATACGAAAATTGGCACCGTTGACCAACAATGAGGTATGGAATCTATGTTTTGATTGTCAAGTGATTGAGTGTAATTAGGGTTTGATTCAATTTAACAGAAACGACGACGCAAATTGGATAGTTTTGCCGAAGAATCAAAGGGCCGAGTAGAGAAAATAGTGCAAGATGCCATCAAATCGGTGAAAATGTGGCAACTGGACATGCTAGCGAGAATTGATGTGACACACCAACACATTTTAAAGATGCATAACCTTCAAAATACATCCGATTGTCATGCCAAAGGAAACACACAATCAGAATCTGAGCAGCCAGAGATCAATTATGAAATTTTCCCATCAATGCCAAGTATGTTTAGTTTGCGAGAACGGCGTTTTGCTTCAGTTAAGCCTGATTTATTGCAAAAATTCTTCCAATTGCAGTTTTGATCGATGAAAACTGCAACGATGTGAACGAATCACCATCAAAACCAATCCATTCACCCGTTGTCAAGAGACAAAATGCAGTTAGCCCCAGTTCATCGGGTGCATCATCTCCGGCCATCATATTTCATGACATTCCGTTGCGAAAAGACTCACGATTTATACACAGATTTTCGGCCATTAAACAGCTGAAATTTGAACAACAAGATACAGCTCGCACATCTGATATAACAGAAACAGTGGCACAATGCGATGGTAAGAACATTTTAATTGAGGCAAAATTGAATTCGTATTATAAATATTTTTTATTCGTTGCAGTTGCAAACGTCAAACAAATGCCAAAAATTGAGACACCAAAGCCGGCGATCTTCCAAAAGTTCTTTGAAACACAAAAATTGGTCATGGAGAAGCAAAAACTTGTACAAAAAGGTACGGACAACTCTTGAAGCATTGACTAAACATGAATATTTTAATAAATTATCATGTTCTTTTTCCTCATTACAGCTGGCTTTGATGAAGCACCTGACGATGAATCAGGAAAGGCCGATCACGGTAATGTTTCCTCACACTCCGCAATTTGTCCGAACCTGTAAAAATCCCACACTGAATTTGGGCCAATTTTCTGACAATTTTCCTTCGAACCAAATTGAAATGACTAAATACAAAGAAAAGCAATCGTAATATCATCCCTTGTCAACGATATTTATTCATTTCTGAACAATGTAAAAACCATTTCTCGTTTGAGTAATAATTGAAAATAAATATATATTTTTGAAATCTAACCCAAACAGAAAAAGAACTAAGATTGCTGTGGATATTTCCAGTTATTGAGTGCTTTGTACACATCGATTGTGTCTTGAACGATGTCACTGAGCTTGGGCCGAGTCAATGTTTTCGGCTGATATTCTTCAGTAGCATCCCCATCATTTTCAGTGGTTGTTTCAGAATCAATTAGATCAGTGTCGCCCGGTGCGTCTTCATCATGCGTTGGAATGTCAGTAGTTTGCTCATTCATCTGAGGCGGATCAGCTTGAGTATCATCTTTCGTGAAATATGTAACAACATTGGTCGAAACGCCACAGTTATCATCGTATCCAAATGCACTGACAAACGCTTGTCTCAGATAACTAATGACATCGTTCATCAGTTCACTTGTGAAATTCTTGCCCTTGATACTATTGAACACCTGTACTTGGGCCTGTTGCACAAAATCACTCAAACTAATTTTATTCTTTGAGCCACTTTCCACTGTTAAACCGTCCAATTTAATTTCCAAATCATCAATGCTTTCGAAAAACACACGGATGGCGATATGATAGGTACAATTGGGTGTGTGAACGAATGTGGTTGGTACATTTAATTCGATTCCACCATCACCGTCATCAATCTCGTTATCTTTTGGACTTGGAATTGGACGAACGAATTCATCGCGATCGGTGCTCGTTCGATAAAACTCAGCTTCGAAGGGTAATTCGTCGCTAAAGTCATCATTGTCGATGTCATTATCCGAAATCTCTTGTTCTGACTGGACCGGCCCCGCTGGCAACGCACCTTAAATTCATTAGAATGAATGAAAAAAAAACACAGCAAATATGTAAATAATATGGATTCAATAAAAAATGCAAATATTTTTGAAGAAAACTCAACGTTTTGTAAACTTTATTCACAATAAACTCACTGGCCAACGTCAGCGTTAACAAAATTACTTGAAGCACGTACAGCATTTCTAGAACGACTGATCACAATAATCCACTAAACAAACCATATTCTAGCTGATTCGAAGCGGGCTGTATGGGCGAATCAGCGAATAAAAGGCAATAAATTGATTAAATAGTCAAAGACGCGTGCTCACCGTGCCACAAGCCAATTAATCAGCATATCAAAATCAAGTGCCCATTGTTTACGACTGCAACGATACAACAACAAACATCGCGTTACGGAAATAATTGCGCATGTCTTGCGATGTTTTCTTGAGAGTTCACAAGCGCAATTTTGATGAGAACTTTACTTCCAATTTAATGCTTTTTTAAGCCGTTGTAATTCTGATTTATTGTTTCTAATGCTGTTGATGAACGATAAATTGACTACCAGATTGCTATTGATTAATTTCAGTCTGATGATCGTTTGAATAGAAAATCAAGTGTTCGTTTCGTTTTCATACGAACACAAATAACTGGCCTCAAATCTAATTTAATATGGAAGTGCTAGTTGCCTCGTTAATAAACGTGATCTTCAACTGACCGAAGTGTCAAGGTAATTGGTTGAAATATGCAAATCCATTGATGTTGCGGCAGCGGCGGCAGTTTTTTTTTTCATGAATGACTCTGTGATTTTTATCTTTAATCGATTTAATAAAGCGAACATTTTACATCCATCTGAGTTTGCACTTTTGTACGTCTTCTTGCTTTGTTTTTAGTTTATGTAAATAAAATTACACCCGACGCACCGAAGGTTAGGAAGTCAGTCAACAACATTGTGTTCAATTGGACAAGTGATTTATTTGTACAAATGTATCTTCATCTATTAATTTGCCAATCAATTCAATATTGGATACATGCTATAATAATGTAATTATCTAATTTAATTTTCAATCAATGTAATCGTACTCTTCGTCGATGGTTACATCGGCTATAGCAAAATCGTAGGTGATCGTTTTCAATCCAATAAAACCGCCAGACTCTTCGTTCTTTTTGTAGGCAAGTCCAATACCGCCGAGTGCAACTGGGTTCCGCGATTCGATTGGCATCGTATCAATCAGTGGTACTGTCGACTGTCCAACGTCGAATTGAATGTCACTGGGCCCGAAGCGAACGAATGCATTGATAGTAGTGTCGGGAATATACAAACCGCTAACAACGCTAACCAGGGAATTGGCTTTCTTTGCGATTTCAATCTCCGTTTGGCCACCGTATTCACTCATGACCCAAGGAGTGTGGGTGATGTTCTCCAAACGACCGCTAAAGTAATCGAAATCAGTTGCTGCAAAAGAGATTTAAATGTCACATTGGAATCGAATATCTAGGGGAATATCACGCTCCTGAATCTTGTGAGATATTTGAGATATTTGAAATAAACATTAGTTGTATGACATATTTTCCATTATTTCGAATAAATAAATCAGATTTTTGTGGATTTTGGAGATATTTGAGATTTTTTGCATTGAATCCGAATAAATACATTTAAATATCATTCATAATCACAAAAATCCACAATATTCCGCCGTATTCACAAATATCCACCATATTTCATACGACAGATTCTTAGAGATAAATTGGATTTTTTTGAAATATTTGAAATAATTTAAGCGTGATATTCCCCTAGTCGAATATGTTATTCATTATTGGATAACTGTTCAGTGTTCATGTTTGTTGATTTTGGCTTGTTCAAATGAATCCAATCGACGGACGTTGCCGTAAACATGCTAATATTTTTAAGCTATCGGTTCGTTTAATCGAATCCGGTTGACCGCACCTCTTATCTGCAAAGCTAAATGTCCATTTAGATTGAAAAATCGAATGCCGGTCACCAATTTTCCTTGCGGCACTACCAAATCGTCCAGATTTATCGACCGATTTTCATAGGTCAATGTGAAATAATCCACTCCATCGATGGCGCTATGATCTGTTGCCGCAAATTGATAATCTGCCAGCTTCCATGTGTCTTGCTCTGACTCTTCGGTTTGACCGAACGGCAGAAGAGTTCGTTGCGAGATAGACAATTGAATCACTCCGTTTTCTTTAACAAAACGAACTCCCGTGATAACCTATTCAAAATATTTTCATAGATAAACTATTGGATTTTCGGTTTAATTCATTTGCACGAATGCAAAAATCTATACCTTATTTTGTTCGATATCAGATACCACTTCATGCAAGCTAAAATGTCGTTCTGAATCTTTCGTATCATCACAGAGGCAATAGCAACTGCTACACTTAACAAACCAACGTCGCCATGACTTAGCCTAGAAAAAGAGTATCTTCGGTTTCAGAACAGAACTGAATTCCATTTTCATAGCATAAAATGTCATTTACATGATTTATGGACGAACATTCCGTTGCTGGTTTGCTGCCATGCACGTTTCCATCACTATACTTGAGGTAATGGTATCTCTTCAGTGTATTTTCTGCAAAGCAAACTTCGACCTCTTCGCTAGGGATTTCTGTACAATCGCGAATTTTACCGTTGCACACCACCAGCTCATCGTTACGATTTTGTGTGCACAGAGTTTTGTCTGCGCATCGCACATGTCGTGTACTTGTGAAGTCTTCGCAATTATTTTGGCAAGTATCCTCTTGGTTTAAATTCAATTCGTTATCTACATTTTGATAACACAAGAAATATTAAATGACAATTTATATAAATATTTTGAATATTCATCATGTACCTATGTAGCCTTGTAGGAATTTTATAACTTGTGTATAACCGTCAGCTAAAAAATAATTTGGATTTATTTAACTCATTTTGATAAAAACGTCCAGACAAAATCGTTCATACCATGTAAATACGGGAAGCGATCGCAAACCCATGAGTCGCGTTTTGCTATTTTTAACAAATTCTTGACGTTCCTTTTAATCAAGTCGACACGACGGAACAACTCATCCTTCACATAATACGACGTCGATGAAAAATTATTTCCTGTTACCACAAAAAATAAAACAACAACAACAACAGATGGCGAATAACAACGAAATTCACATAACATGAACTACAACATAATCGCAGAAATATTGTACGACACACCGTGATACATCGTGATTTTATTAAAAAACAAAGCTCTCTAACCTTTGTTGTTGATATTTATTAGCATGTGCGATAATTGGGTCAAAATGTATGTTTTCAAGAGAGCAGCACGAACGTCCTTGTAATAATTGTAGATCAACTGGAATTCGGATTCCACTGTTATCGGCGACGATTCCAACTGACGGCAATGTTGAACATACTGGAATTGCGATTGAAATAATTTGGGTTAAGCGCATGGATTTTTAATGAATTTTGCTTCGAATCTTTTTTTATAGCCAGAGACTTCCTTCCGTTTGCTACTCGTGCTGTTTGTAGCTAAATTTTTGATGTTTTATTCAAACATTTTTCTTTCATGCTCAGATTAGAATATTTCAAGAGAGTTTAAACGTTATGAAAATACGTACGTCTTTCCCTTTATGCCAAAACTCAGCCCGTATGGCCTCTCGGAATATGCTTTCCGAATATGCAATGGAATTGGCCAAAATCTCATGAACGTAGTAAATATCGTGTGAATCGAAAGAATTAGAGCGCAATATCAAGCTCATGTTATAGAACAATATATTTACAAGCGATAAATTATTGGCAAGATAGCCAGATGGTACGAAGTCTTGGGTATTTGGAGTGACACCAAAGTCACTGCTGATGAATCTGAGATGTTCGCTCTGCACCAACGAGTACAGTCCATTTTTGTCGCCGAGATGATTTAATCTTGACCACAAACTCTGCTCAACACTCAAATAATCCAACGTAAGATAATCGATATACGGTTTCTCAGTCTCTATTCCGTCCTTATATTGACCATAGCAAACTGCAATCAATATGATAAACAACAACACTCGAATATTAGAAAATGCAAGCATCTTGCTATATATCAAAAATATTTCAAACTAATCACGAATAATCATTCGGAAGCTAAATCCGACCAGCTCGCTTCAGATTTGTTTACATACTATTTAATTATCATGAAATTTGGTCGCGCTCAAGTATCAACTCTTCTTGAAAAATTTAGCTCAAAAAATCATCAAAATAAGAACACGATCCACGAAAAAAAAATCAGTTGACTGATAAGGTTCCCCAAGTCTCAAGTACAAATATAAGTCGCTTGATACGTTTTTTGTTTAGAATTTCCTGCTGAACTTCAATATTCAATAAGAAGCTCCCTGTATGGTATTTTTTTCTTATTTACAATTGATTCAATGAATTGATTAAAAATATCTCGTTGAAAATATTCATCATTCATACACGAAAAATGAACTTAATCAAATAGCGTTTTTTTTGTTTATCAAGGTTCCGATGAATGACAGAAGAAAGTGTTGCTTTTTTATCAGTTGTTTTTGAATTTGCTAAATGTTGCTATTTTTTCCGAGCGCTGCAAAACTTTGATTTTGTTTGTATCACGAGTCCGGCTCCACTTTTTCGCAAATAGATGCTCAACTGCAATAAAATCATGTGTGTGCCATCCAACAAACTAAGAAATGTGCTTGAAATGATGTGAATTGCATGCAAAGCGCGCAGATAAAAGAGCAAAAAAAGCAACCAGACTGCTGTTAGCGCCCGATTTGTGACAGCTGCAAACAATGTTTACGAAACTCATTCGTGTGTGTGGTGGATGTGAGTGTGTGTTGGTACGTCAAACTGTCACAGAAAGCAAAATAAGTATTTTTCTTTCGACCAGAGCAAAAATATCAAGCGAATCTTCATTTCATTGTTTGGTGTGAATAAGGTACGTGCACACATCCGTCAAAATATTGATGAAATTTTTTTTTCTTCATTGAATCGAGCAAGAAAAAAAATCACACACATATTTGAAAGATACGCAATAAACCAAATAAAATTCAATTCGAGTGGAGATTAAGAAAAGTGCGAGAACGAGTGAAACACAAAGAGCTGCAGAAAGAGAGTAAGACAGAGAAAGAGAGAGAAAAAAAACACATTAAGTAAACGTAGAAATATGAGCATTTAGTGTTGTGTTGAAGGAACGAAGTTCAGTGAAGCAAAGTTGAGCAGTTGAATTGATTGCTGTGATTAGAATCGATCATCGAATTGAGAAAGCAAAGAGAGAGACGAGGAACAAAAACAAACACTAAATCAAAAACAAAAATGTCGTCGCCAAGTGCAGGAAAACGTCGCATTGATACTGATGTCATAAAGTTGATAGAAAGTAAGCACGAAGTCACCATCATCGGTGGTCTCAATGAGTTTTGTGTCAAATTTTTCGGCCCAAAGGGTACACCGTACGAAGGTGGCGTTTGGAAAGTTCGTGTACACCTACCCGACAATTATCCATTCAAATCGCCCAGCATAGGTTTTATGAATAAAATATTTCATCCAAATATTGATGAGGTATCGGGGACAGTGTGCCTGGATGTCATCAATCAAACATGGACTGCACTCTATGATCTATCGAATATATTCGAACAATTTCTGCCGCAGCTGCTCACATATCCCAATCCACAGGATCCACTGAATAGCGAAGCAGCCGCCCTATTTCTACACACACCAGACGATTACAGTAAACGGGTGTCCGATTATGTGAAGCGTTTTGCTACCGAAGAAGCCTTACGCGAACAAACCGAAAACGAAAGTTCAGACAGCGAATCGAGCATGTCTGATTTTAGCGAAAATGTTGCCGAAGATATGGAGCTGTAACGTAAAACAACAGCAGCCAACAATTCTTTTGGGTAAATTTGCCATTCACTTAAATTTCAACACATTTTTATCGTTGTGATTGTATCTATCATTACTTCTCTTTTTTTTCTCGCTTGTTTGCACAATTTTAGTGTTGCGTATCCAAAGCGAATGTTTCTACTGCCATTGACTTTCGTTTAGAGCAACCGATAATTTCGATGATATTCTTAAGACGACATCAACAACAACACTCAAACAAACTTACATATGATGTGGAAGCCCAAAAATCATGGAATCTTTACTGTAATACACCCCTCACAACCACACTATATTTCTACTTTTTCTTTGCGCTTTTTTTCTCACAAACAAACACACAACCGAAATCGATAGCAGCCAGTCCTTTTCTCTAGTAGTCTTATTTTTATCCGTAATAATTTAATGAGTTGTACATTTCATAGCTCTTTTTCTCTTCTTTTTTCTCCTTTTTTCTCTTCAACGCGATCGCCTCATCGTTTGTTATTTAATTTCGTTTTTACCCGCAATATTGTTAAGATTTAAGAGAATAAAGAAAAACAAAACAAGGCGAATACCATTAATTATATATATGTAAAAGAAGAAAGAACCGTTTTTTTTGTAATCATATTCGAACGATTGCAGAATTAAAAAAAAGTTTGAATTTAAACCTATTCGATAAGATGAAAGAAAATTAATAATGATAATAAATAACAAATCGAATGTTTGAAAGAATAAAAAAAAAACAAAAACAAGCTCTTAACCTTGAATTTTGTACACATTAAAATAGAATAAAGAATAAACTAAATATCTAGTAGCTGAACAAATCGAATGGCATTCAAAAATATTTCCCATATTGGAGTTCATTCTTGCTGGTTTATATTCCATCTGAGTTTGCATTGTTTTCATCAAAACAATGCAATCGAACGTTGTCTTTATTCCATTCATCACCTAGGAGAGAGAAAAATATGTTAAGTATGCAAAAACCAAGGTAAACACTGAAGTACACACTCACACATAGACACACATGAGCAAATCTACTTAAAATGTATTTGAGTCATTTATTTGTCCGAAAAACAAACGGTTTGTGAGTCACAAAAATTAAAATAACAAACCAATATCGCCGTCAATACTGAATCATTTTTCTATTCATAGAATTTCATAGGATTTTTGAAGAATTCAACCGGAGTATTATCTCCGAATTGAATTATGTGTGAAACAACAAAAACTAGACAAATGAAGTGCTAGTCAAACGAAATCACACTGTGAACGCATTCACATACTTAACTGGTACATAAAGTTGCCAGAATTGACATTTGTTTCGCTATTGCAACTAGACGGATCGATTCCATTTGACAGATCGAAAAATTTATTTGTTTAGTAAACAAATAGACCATTTAATTTTTCCACTTTATTTATTTTACTATTCGACGATAAGATTGTATTGAAAATCAGTGCATTTGACAGTGGCCACATTAAAAATGACGACCTATTGTCGTTTGTGCGCTGAAATGAAAACGGAAGATGAACTGAACACCACAATCAGTGATTGCAAATTGAATATAAAAGAAAAACTAGTCGTTTGTTGCCAGTGGAATAATTACATAAACAATGGCCATTTGCCCGAAGTCGTTTGCTATTCATGCACCGAAAAATTGGAGAAATCATGGCTTTTCAGCGAATGCGTGGCTTTTGCTCAGATAAAACTGCAGGAAATCTTCAATGATACGGAATTGGTAGCGGTAAAATGTGAATTGAATGCCAACGATGAAGATGAACTGCCGCTATGTGATACACAGGAAGATATTTTTGTCGAATCGATTACATTACCAGAGCCAACAAATGATGAAGAGAAATTTTTGATTGGATCAACCATCGACACATTGGACGAGGCCAAGTTACGTCAAAACCATGAATGTGATGTGTGTCAGAAAAGTTTTACCACTGCTTATAACTTGACGGTTTGTTTTGACTCGAACATAAGCAAATCAAAGTTAGGTCTAATTTGCAATCTTCCTTCTTAGGTTCATAAGAGAATCCATACGAATGAGCGCCCTTATTGCTGTTTAAAATGTGGAAAGTACTTTAAGAGTTCGTCGAATTTAAATCAACATCTACGGCAGGTGCATGGAAGGGACAGGTCAAGCGAACACGAAGATGAACAAGAGGATCTAACAGAGTCCAATTTAGATGTGAAAGAAGACGCTGAGCAGCTGGCATCATCGAATTCAACAGAGTTTCAATATGCATGCAACGAATGTGGCCGACGTTTTCGCTTGAAATGCACGCTAACGGCCCATCGAACTATCCACTCGAGTGCGAGACCGTTTGAATGCTTCATGTGTCATAGATCGTAAGTGTTTGTCACTTTTTTTCTGTTTGCATTAATTTAATCCGAATCAATCGGAAGATACGGATTCAGTCAAGTATCAGAGTCTAATATTTCCATCGATTTTCAGATTCAAACGAAGAAAATTGCTTAAGGCTCACATGAGAATCCACACGCATTATCCCACAATCGAGTGTCATATATGCAATAAACGCTTCAGGCGAAACATTCAACGTGATAATCATATAAAAGAAAGGCATGGAGCTCCTCTTCCGAAACGTGAGAAGAAGCCACCGCTTCCACCAAAAGCACGTAGGTTCATTGAGCACATCATATTTCGACGCAAAAGTTTTTTTTTCACAATTGATTTGTTGCAGCTGTTCGAAAGTTCACTTGTGAATTGTGCGGCATGAGTTTCACGCAACGAGGTGGTCTTTTCACTCATATGACTGTACATTCGGATCATCGGCCGCATAAGTGCGATGTTTGCGGATTAGGGTAAAACAAGTAAATGATTTTGTTGATGAACCTGTCTTTGACTTTTTGAAATCGTTGAAAAATTTGACAGGTTCAAACGTAAGCGAACGATGCAGGACCATCGCAAAACCCACACCGATGAACTGGAACACAAGTGTACACAATGTGAAAAGGCTTTCCGAAAGAAAATCAGCTTGCGCCGACATTTGGAGTATCACACAGGGGAAATTGTGAAACCCTTCATTTGTGACTTTTGTGGCAAAAGCTTTCGACTGAATGCGAATCTAGTGGTTTGTATTCATTACATAAATTTTCATTGCTCAGCACCTTCATTAGATGATACATTTTCTTTGATCGTCTTGCAGGAACACAGAAGAATTCATACTGGTGAAAAGCCTTACTTCTGCGAACACTGTGCATCGAATTTCCGAACAATGTCAAGTTTTTACAGTCATTTAAAGAAAGAGCACGGTAAGTGAGAGTAGGTTCAATATATTTCAATGGATATTTCTCATATTTGAATTGGTTTTGCAGGAATTTCTGTACTCGCACGAAAACTCGAAGAGCAAGCTAGGGCTACGGCCATGTCATAAAACCAGAATCAAGGCAACTATTTACTTATAGTAGCTACTTTCGCCATATTATTATAAAGTTTAATTTAGTGGTGTAGACACCAGTACTCATGGTGTAGACACAGTATTTATAACAATAAGCATAACCAATAAAGAACCACATAGTGGAAATATTCTTTTGATTGCAAACAAGAGTGAACGATTTTCCATGAATTTATTGCTTTATAGAATGCATAAGAGGTGACCATGACCTTTGAAATTCTCCATGTAAGAACTTGAACCATCCATGTAATAAGTAAGTACTGTGCAAACGCTGTTGCGGTTGGATACTTGAACGAATAGAATGGATACTTGAACGAATAGAATAAAATGAAAGCCATTAATTATCGACAGTTGATTGCTCTTCAAAAAACAGTCCCAGTTGCATCAACTCATTCTCTCCCCCATACAATTTGTCTCGGTTGTTGCTCAGTTTATTGAACTATGCGCGAAAAATGCGTTCATGCATTATTTTGTGACAATGTACATTGTCATAAAGTCAACTGTCATTGGAAACGTCAACAAAGAGCAGTAATATAATACCAGCGTCCAAATGTACAATTTTCCCGTCGATTGATTGTAAAATCGAAGGTAAAATGTCGATTTTTTGCCGTTTATGTGCGGAGACAAAAGATCCATCCGAAATTGTCACATCGATTAATGATCCCGGACGATTGGTGGAACAAAAATTGATTGCCTGCTGTCAATGGAATCCGCAGAACACTGACTTCGAGCTACCACAAGATGTTTGTGAATTTTGCTACTATAAGCTGGAGAATAGTTGGTCGTTTTTACAAAGTGTGCACAAGGCACAGCGCAAAATACAAAATCATTTTGGTAAGCAATACAATCTGTCTCATGTTTGAATTCATGCCCATATGAATAGTTGGCGCCATGTATTCCCTTCATTCGGCTCTGTGATACGCATCGTAATAGACAAAGCATATACAGAAGACAGTCCATAGAGTGGAACAGCACAAATATACTCAGAGACTGTAAACAGTATGCACGGGTATCACAGTAGCCTGTGAACTATGAAGTGAATAAGAAGTGCGTAACGCTGAACCATTCATACGGTCCGAATTGCTACGGCTTGTTTACATTTATAAATTTGAAATAGACAAGGAAGTAGAATCCACAACAAAAGCAACAAACAAGGCTTCAAAGACAAGATTCGGATGTTTTGAGTGCAACAGTACTTTTTCGTCGAGGCTTGCATTGGAAAAACATGAATGCGAATCGGTAGACCAAAATTTGAAATGCAACATTTGTCTAAAAACGTGAGTTACTTGCTTTTGATGGCAAACAAATTCAGATATTGACTTTGTTGTATTCAAAACAGATTCAAAACGATTGACGGCTTCCGTGGCCATTGCCGAAAACAAGGCAAATACAAGTGCGATTTGTGTTTACAATTGTTCTGCACAAGTAAGGCGCTGGAGAGACACAAAGAAGACAGTTGTGAAAATTTAATTGGGAGCATAGAGGTGGTGGAGGCCAAACCCACCTTTATCGATTGCAATTCCGAAGTTGAACTGAATGGAGACAAAGAACCACCAGAACCAGAGCAAATAAACCAAGAACCAAAACCCGAAGTAGACCCAGAAATGGAGATAGAGGTGAAAGCGGTCGCTTTTGATATGGCTCCCATACGAATTCACCTTGATTTGAATGAAGACGACAGCTCAGATCTTAGAATACGAAACAGTTTCCCAAAAGATGACACAAATCGCGAATATTATTGTTACTTGTGCTTGAGAAGGTATCGACCAGACATCCATTATTTTGTGGGAAGATTGAAATTCAATTTGAATTTCAAATTTTCGATTTTTCTTCTTTTCTTTTGTTAGATTCAAAAAGTTTCCAATACTAAGGTATCATATGGCCGTACACACATTGCCGCGTAAATACAAGTGTCAGTATTGCAATTCACGCTTCCGTACTGAACGCCACTACACTTCTCATCAACAGAAACACGTTGATTACTTCTGCGATGTATGCCAAAAGAAATTCGCAAGTGCTTTTGCTCTGAAAGTCCATAAACGGATGCACACCGGAGCTAGTGTGAAAATGTATGGTTGCGAAGAATGTGACCACTTCTTTGTTGATGTGTCCACTTATTATAATCATATGAGACGACGACATGGTGAGATAATGTGTGAACGAATCCAGTTTTTATGTTCAATTTTGAAAAAAAATTATTTTTCTCTTGAATTTTTCTAGGACTCGATACGAAAGAAGCCAAGAAGAAAGCTAAACTCGTTGAACCAAATGGAAGTGAGTGATCATATTTAGATGCCATCTACTAGACTGTTGAAATAAAAATGGTATTAAATTGTTGCATATTTCAGCTGCCAAGCCCTATGTTTGTGAACAATGTGGAAAAGATTTCAAAGAAAGAAGCTCATTGAAAGCTCATTTATTGGTACACTTGGACGTACGACCATTCCAGTGCGAAGTTTGTTTCAAAGCGTAAGAAGACTACAAATTTTGTATTTTAAAATGTTTGCCTGTATTTTTCTTTGACATTAATAAGACAAATTGGAATCTTTCAGGTTCAAAAATAAGTACAACTTAAAGACGCATCAGGAAACGCATAGCGGCGAAAAAACGGTGCAGTGTACGGAATGTGGGAAGAGATATAGCCGAAAGAGTATTTTGCTGAAACACATGGAAGAGCACACTGGTGTCTTCACACGCACCTTCCCATGCGATTTTTGCGATCGAACTTTCCGTTCTTTATACAATATGCAAAATCATCGTCGAACTCATACAGGCGAAAAACCATATCGATGTTAGATTTGCGCGCGATTTTTGAACACTTTTTTGTTAAATACAAATATTTAGTCATTTTTTAATTTCTTTTCCAATCGAAAAATAAAATCCAAATAATTTTCATTCTTCCTTTATCTTTAGGTGATGTTTGCAATCATGATGTGACAACCAAATCGCAGCTCGACCGTCACCTGAAAACCATTTCCCACATTAACAAATTAAATGAATCCATGGTCATGGACGAAAGACAGAATTACATGCAATAAAAATTGAAAAATAAATAAATCGTCAAATCAAAGTTGGAAATTTTGGACAAAAAAAAATGTTCATATTGTTTTCATTCGTTTCATTTTCATCCCAAATCGTGGAACGCACTCCAATTTCAAGCGGGTTGTGACATTTGTGCGCAGTGGATGACAGTTGACAGAAGCCGCAAATTGTGTAAAAGTGTGGATTGTAAGAAGAAGAGTTCAATGCGAACATATTACAGTAAATTGTACAACAAAACACAAGCGTAAAAAAAACGAGATTCTTTTTTCTCCAATTAATTAAGGTAAAGTATCTCATTCGCATTTCGCACAGAATTCATTTTCTTCGGCAAATCCATTCAATTTTCACGATGCAATAAACATTTTACGTTATTCCTTTAGTCACTGGCAATTTTCATTTATTGTGCATGTGTGTGCACCACTTTTTTTTTCTTTGTGCAGAACGCAAAAGTAAAAGACGAACCATTTGCAGTGATGGCTGACAAAACCAGTGAATTACGAATGAATTTGGCTGCGATAAAACGTGTCGATCCGTATGCAAAGGATATTATAGATAATTCGGCGCATGTGGCATTTTATACGTTCAATCCGGACGAAACGGAATGGGAAAAGACAGATATTGAAGGCGCATTTTTTGTGTATGTTCGCAATGCTGAACCATACCACAGCGTATTCATCAACAATCGATTGAACACAAACTCGTTGGTCGAACCGATTACAGCTGGCATTGAACTACAGAATCAGACGCCATTTCTTCTGTACCGCAACGAACGGAATCGTATCCGCGGTTTTTGGTTTTACAATCGTAGTGAATGTGATCGCATCAGTGAACTGGTACAGCGGATTGCTAAGGACGCTGATCCATTGACCGAAAGTCAGAAGAGCGGCGAATCGAATTTACCGCAACAGTCATTCGATTTGATGACCTATTCAAATAATAATGTCGATATTTTCAGTATGCTGAGCAAAGCTCAACAGGATTTCAACAATTCACTCTCAGTACCGAAGGGTAAAGGTGCGCCACAATCGCCAGATGCGCCAAAAGGTGCGACCAATGAGTTGCCGATCGAAAAGAAAATTGCACCACAGAAGGGTGCACCAGTCGCAGTTCCCATTCAAATTCCAGTGAACGATGTCGGTACACCGCAAAGTGTTATGAATTTCTTTGCGGCCGCCAAGCCAACGCAACTGAAGGAAGGTCCATTGTTGCAGCGAATGCTCTCACAGCCCGTTCATATCGACCAGATCGAGAAACGTAAGTCACAAATCGAATTGAATAGAATAAAATACACTGTGATATGTTTTGCATTTAGTAATCAATGAAAATATTGTTTGAATATTTGCAGGTGTTAAAACACCGTTGAAAGAGAAGCAGTCGCCACCACAGAATCAGTCCACATCAAATGCAAAACCAAAGCAAATCCTAAATAATTCGGCACACACAACTTACGCTAAAGCAGCTGCTGCTGGTGGTATTGAAAATGGTTTGAATTTCATGCGTATCAATTCGCCAACGCAACAACAATCATCGATTGATTTGGGCACATCGCCACTGGCCACATTCATTGCATCAAATAATTTGACACATGTTTTAAAAACGGTGCCACCACTGTCCGATATCAAGGATGTCGAATCTCAGCGCCAACAAAATGAGCCACCACAACCGTTGCAGGCACTTTTGAAGAAACCCGTTCCAGTTGCAGCACCAAAAGTTACGGGCAACATTGGTCAAAATGCGCAGAACAACACAACACCTGGTAAGCCAGCAAAACTAATGCCACCGACCATGTTCGAGACAACGGCCAATGAGCCAAACACACAACGAACTGGCCCATTGAATGCAAATGCAAAGGCCGGCAAAAATGAAAGTAACGAAACAAACAAGAAGAATTCCATGGCAAAGGGCAAAGAGGCGGGCAACCAAAAGTCCAGAAAGAAGTCGGCACACGATCAACAGCCACAGACACAGGCACAGGCACAGGCACAGGCATCACAAAACGATGACTTATCTACAACGGTGCAACCATTGACCGAAACACAACTACTCCAAGCCATTTCCTATTTGATGAAAAACGATCCAAGCTTCATTCGCAAGATACATGAAGCTTATTTGAAATCATTCGCCGATATGGTTTCCCAGTAAAGGAGGTCGGCCCATTTCAATTGAGATCTAAACGACAAGAATTTATTTACGTAGCTGAATTGACAAGGAAGAAGATGAATAATGAAAGCAGGACAATTAAACGTACACATAATATCATTGGGCATTTACTATTATCAAACACAATATTACTATTACAAACAAACAAAAGAATTTTTGATGTATTTAGGCATCAGTGTAGGGACAAGGATCAACGTTTCGTATCTCATTCAACATACAACTATTTTTACTGTTTTGATTCACATTCATAATAAGGAGCCGTTTATTAACACATTACACAGACACATTTAAATAGATACACTTTAATGTTTTCCTTTTCTTTCATCGATGTTAGTGAAGTTGCTTCTACTCGACTCTCCGTGCTTACAATTCGAAACTATCAAAATATTTTATTACATGTGCATTTTCTTCGAAACCGATCTCGGTGATAATGTTTAATGCACTCACACTCACACACACACACACATTAAAGTTGTGAAATTGTATTCGTTATGTTAATAAAAAAGAACTTTAAATGACACATGTATTACAAAAGCAAAAATAAATGCAAATAAAAGGACATTTCGTTCTCGTTATTACTTTTCCGAATTGAATACTGGCTCTGTCTTTTACTGTCGTGCTTGTCTCTTGTTCATGTTGACTTGACACAGACACCCATTGTTGACGATGCAAAATGATGCTCCTCTGTTAAAATAGTGCTGATGATAAGCATTCACATTGCAAATGCCTTATTTGGTTCACTTGAGTCGAGCGACTCAAGTGATGCAACATGCCATGCTAAATTTATTTTAACTATGGAAATCAGCAGATTTTGTTTGAAAATTGATTATCGAAAATTGACAATTCGTCCACGGTTGCAAATTTTCACTATCTGCTACTTGTGCAAATCTTCATCTTGATCGTAGAATTCGTGCCATCGTTGCAACCGGGCAACTGCCGCTTCACTGTCAATCAAACGAAAGTTTCTTGAATAAATGACGATGCAATTTTCCACATGACTCACAACGTCAACTACTTTTCGAATGGCGTGAATTCGAAACCATCTGACATTCTTCGTTAAAATTGCAAAACTTTAGGCACATTGATGTGAAATAACCTTAATCTCTTCCCAACCATTACTTAAACTATAGTTAATGAACATGTTAAAGGAAATACACGTTTTCCTATTGGAAAACAGCTGTTCATCACTTTCCAATAACAACATAAAATAAAAAGAATTACATTGGTAATCCCGAACTTTTCCGTACCGTTGGCCTGCGTTGTCTGTAGGTACTTTTGCTTATTTTTTGTGAATTTTCTTGAAATAAAGGCAGCGAAAATATAATAATAAAAATAAAGTGAAAAATCGGTCACTTTAACTAAAACTTCGACAATTTCGTATGGGAGGTACCCGTAAACCGATTCCTATTGGCTTCAAACTTTCTGAGGTTTCATTTTTTGGAGAAAAAATAAGATTCTGAAAGTTTCATGTTGATCGCATTTGCATAAGTTTGATTTTTTGTCCTCAATTTTCGTCGAAATTTTCTTGGAAAAAATTGAGGGCCAAAAACCAAACTTCTGGACATGCGATCAACATGAAACTTTCAGAATCTTATTTTTTCTCCAAAGAATGAAACCTCAGGAAGTTTGAAGCCAATCAGAATCGATTAACGGGTACCTCCCATACAAAATTGTCCAAAAATCGGTAATTTTAGTCAAAATTTCTAAACTTTTGTATGGGAGGTACCCGTAAATCGATTCCGATTGGTTTCAAACTTTCAGAATCTTATTTTTCCCCCAAAAAATGAAATCCCAGAATGTTTGAAGTCAATCGGAGTCGATTTACAGGTACTTCCCATACAAAAGTGTCAATTTTTTGAGGTTTTTCTTGGGGCAAGTACCCCAGGATCAAATCGAAAATGGCTCATCTTCGAACTTAAACTAAGTTTTTCGAATACAAAACTTTTGGCGTTTCCAGATTTTGATTATCTCAATTATTTTTTGAGTTATCGTGTTTACAAACAGCTACGACGACGACGACAACGACGACAACGACGACGACGGCACACGAACGGAAAAGTGTCTCAAAAAGTGGTTTTCTACGCGTTTCATGAGTTTTTATGATGATCTAAGCTAATTTTGCGAAAAAAGTTTTCGGGACCAATTCCTATACTTTCCCTTGACACGTTGTGTACGGAAAAGTAAAATGGATGAGATTTGAATAGGAAGTTGGAAGGCATTGAAATTGTTAACATTAAAACCAAACACACATTTACCAGCCATTTACCAGTCTCTGTGTGTGAGTGAGTGCCATTAAAAATATAGTTCAATTCAGGATTAAACGCAGCTGCAGCTTTTTGTTCAAGTTTTCATGGAAAAAATTCAGATTTGTTTTTCGGTTGTTGTTGCTGTTGGTGTCGGCTCAAAATGTGGTTTTTTGTTCGTTTTCTATTTGCATAACTCTGTGGCACACCGGTTGATGTGGTGTGTTAACTATTCGCACTAACTGTGCGGATTTAGCACTAGGACAGCTTCAAAATTGCTTCATTGGTTTGTTAAAGCGCCTCGAAGTGAAGCTAGAAAAATTGACGTGGGTTCTCTTTATTCGCAGAAAAAAAAATTCTAAAAACAATTTGGTTTGCGGTTGTTTTTCGCTCCTCTTTTGCGTTGGGTTCTTCTATTTGGATCTGTACAAATATATGAATTGAAACCAAATCAACGCATAAACATCTATTTCATTCATTGATTTTGCTATACAGAATGAGATTACAAAACCCGGCGTAGTCATTGAATCGGTGGAATTTTGCAATCGCGTTTTAGAAGAAAATTTGAATTTATCGCTGAAATTGGCAGTCCATGGAAAATGTTTGATATGCGCTTAGCAGACACAGTGCATTGAGCATTTCAAAAATCAAACGCATACACACACACATGCACAGCCATTGTGTGAATTGCACCACACGCAAACACATTGTGGATTCAAACACAAAACATTGAAAATTGCACTCATCTCTCTCTATCTCTGGCTCTCTCCATTTTGATTTGCAAATTGGCTTTTGTTCAATTTGCAAATAATACGGGCCGAATGAAAGAGAATTTAACCGTAAATCAAAATTGATGTTGTTTGTGCTATTCACATTTTGCCAGTTCGATTTGAACATGCAAAACGCAATGAATCGGATGAAAAACAAAAAGGAAAAAAAAACCGCACACACATTCCGGGCCGCATAAAATTGTCAACATAGTTGTAGGGGTTTATTGGAGATTTCGAAATTGGAATGAAACGGGCTAGAAAATGCAAACGTACAGCGAAAAAAAAATGGCAATGTCGATAGGAATTGTGGTGGATATCGATTGTGCCGCATCCCACCTTCGTCAATGTAGTCAAAGACAGTCGGGGTTGTGTTAAACGACACGAAATACCGGGACGAATTATGTTATGTTCGCCAAAAAGTCTCAAACATTTTTATGATTATCTCTTTGTTAAAACCACTAAGATTGCCATTGTAAAACATTGTGCTCGATCCATCGAAAGACAAACCGATGTGTGTTTGGGTTTGGGTTTGGAAACTTTCGTTGCATCTTGCAATTGATAAAATTTATAGGAAACATATTTTTGCAGGCAAACGACAATGTTTGCCGTGCTTGTTTGGAATCGAATCGAATCGAGTGGGTCGCCAACTTTTCAATTCAATGCGCTTCAATGCGATGCGATGCGATGCGATGCTGCTTGTTTTTGTTTTTCTCTCTGTGTGTTCAAAACAAAGTTTCTAAGTTGCCATATCTAAGGCACTTATCCAATCACTCTTGTGACTATTGCCAAAGAAAAATCGGACACTTTGGTATTTTTCTGTTGAAATAACAAATGCCATGTTCAACTCTTCTTCTTTTGTCGTCGTCGTCGTCGTCGTTGTCTTAGCAAACAAAAGTGCATCGAAATGCAAACAATTCGAAAAGTTTTCGCCGTTCCATCCAGTTCCTAATCATTTCACACGAGTAAACTTTCAAACCGCATAACTAAGAAGATTCATAACGCCAAAGCAAATACCCTGCCACGACTGTGTGACTCTGCGAAAAGTGGAAATTGTAATTGTTATTATGTATCTGCTTGCAGTGTATGTCGGCTGGGCTGGCTTATTTTTTGCTCAAGTTTTTGCTGGCATTGTAGTGTTCATCATCGGTTTTCTTATTCTCGTCGCTCTTAGAAAATTTCAATTGGCTCCAGTATGCTGGCAGTGGGGATTTATAAAATGGCAAATCAAATACAGATACAAAATTTCAAAGTTTATGGGGGTGTGTGTGTCAGTTGTCGGAAGCGACGCCACCTCAAGTATCTTGAACTACTATCAAAACTAATGAAATTATTTTGTTTTTGGCATCTTGAGAAATCTCTCGAAATCAATGCAATATTATGTAAACAAATGCAATCAAATAGGGATATTTCATGCAATTCCTATGCAAATTCATCGAAAATCATAGCAACTTTGTAATGCATTGTGAAATGTTGATTATGCAATTGAACAAAATGAACAACATCTTGCCGACGAATTGCATGTGTGATAATAATGAAAGTGCATGTTGCAGCAACCTTTGGTTATTCGATTTTCTACACAGGCATGCTGACACACTGTGCATGAATTAGTAGAACAGGCTATTTACTGCACGTTGTTCACTCTTGTTGAGTGGAATAGGTTATGGAAATGGGTTTTTAGACGATGGGTGGCCAGTCGTTGCATACATGCAAAGCAGCTCTTCCATTTTTGTAGGTGGTTGTCAATGTTAATGCATGTGACATTCATCTTGATTTATGCTGATCGTATGCACCTGAATATGTACCCACAGTGTGCTCGTAGCTGACACTATGGCAATGTAGTACTTCCTTTGCCGAACAAGATCAACGAAGAAAAAAAAATATGAGATGTGTTTTTTTTCTTCTTCAAATTTTCGTTCACAGCAAAACTACTTCGTAACATGTGAGCTGATAAAATATTCAGCAAATCCTTTCGTGCGAATGCAGTAGAGATGGAGTTCCATTTGAGAATGGAATGCCACACGAACTGTTGCATTTTGAATAGCGAGACACGTGTCACATCATCGATATGAGGACAAATCAATGAATCTTTTAACACATTAAGCGCGATACTTTTTCAAAAGGTCAACGATTAATTGAAATTTCAAAAGAATGTGTCGGTAGCTAGAAAAGAGTCTATATGACCAAAAACTAGAGAGAAAGATGTATATTGTCTCTACACCAAACAGAATCCAAGATTTCAAGAAGTTTTGGCTTATTGAAACAACTTGTTGAAAAGATTAAAAACAACCAGTAATGAGTTGCATTGCACTGGATATAATCAAACTAATTTACTAATTGGAAATTTGTAAGCAACGAGTTTTGAAAGATATTTCATGCTTTCAGTCTGTTAATTCGCGAAAGTATATCCACAAAAGGTCGCCGTTTTGTCTCAGTATCTTCAAGTGTGCCATTAATGAATCAGAAGAGTCAAGTGGGTTTAAGTGCAAATGCTGTCGTAGGTTTATGTGCACTAAGAGACCTATTAGTTCGACGCCGTATAGTTTATT